TGCCAGGGTCATGTGTTTTCCTATCTATTGCTCTGTGTTATGCTTTGAAATTGTGTACTGTAGTGCATTCTGCATTGCTCTTATGTTTCAAGTTTTCATTTTCAATTTTTGGTCTTTTTTTCAATGATATGAATTTCAGGATAATTTTTTCCAGTTCCATGAACACACCATCAGAGGTTTGATAGAAATTGCATAAAATCTGTGAATCACTTTCTTAATACAGATATGTTCCCAACATTAAATCTGCTTTTTTGTATATTAGATGTTTCTCTATTTTATGATGTCTCTTTTTTTTCTTACTGAAACTTCTTCAATTTCATTTTATGATTTTGCCATTTGACACTTTAGATTGGATTATGCCTATGCATGATTTTGCTTCTACTAAATGGAGATGTTATCCCTATTTCAGTCTCAGTGGGGTTGTTTGTATTGCATACATATATTATGCATGTTTGTATTTTGAAGTTGTTTTCAGAGAGTTTGCTAAAGTTCTATATCCCATCTTAACTTCTTCTGGCAGAGACTTTAGGATCTTCTAAAAGAAGATCACATAATCTGTACATAGGGATAATTTGACTTCTTTTAATTTTCTTACCTTGTCTAATTGCTGTGTCTACAATTTCAGGGGCTCTGGTGAAATGCGAAATCTGGTGAACATGCACACCTCATTCTTATTTCTGATTTTAGAGGCAATGCTGTAGATTTTTCTCCATTCAGTTTGCCCTTTACTTTGGATTTGGAATATATAGAGTTTGTAATACGATAGGAAGTTCTTGCTGTACTCTGTTTGCTAAGACATCTCATGAAGGACTGTTGAATTTTGTCAGAGGCTTCTTCTATATCTATTGAGGTCATCATGAGACTTTTGTCTTGTGTCTCTGTGGTTTTCTGCAATTATTGATTTGCATGTGTTGAACCATTTTGCATTCTTCTAATTAATCCAATTTTATGTTGTTGTATGATGCTTACAATGTGTTATTCGAATTATTTTAATTAATTCCATGAGGGTTTTGCAAATATCTTCCTCAAGAATATTATTAAAATTTTTCTTTTCTTGTTTTGTTCTTATGCAGTTTTCCTAAAAGAGTGATATTGCCTCCATGATATTGCCCTCCTAGAATGCATTTGCCAGTGTCCTTCATTTCTATCACATGTAGTCTTTGGGGGAGTAGCTGTGTTAGTTCTCATCCGATGGTCTGGCAAAATTCAGCCATGAATCTCTCTGGTACTCGCATTTTTTGAAAGGCTTTTCATAACTGCTTCAATATAATGTCATATTATTGGTCTGCTTAAATTTCCAGTTATTCTCTTGAATCAATTTTTGTAGATCATATATAGAGAGAGACATTTATCTACTACTTCCACATATTCTAAATTTCATAATGTAAATCATCCTAACATTCTCTGGATTTCTTGGCATTTAACTTTTCAATGTAGTCCTTAATATTCCTCAGGATTTCAGAAAGGTGTGTTGTAAGATCCACTTCATTTGTCTTAAATTTATTCATTTATATCTTCTCTCTCTTTACTTGGTTTGGTTTGGTGCAGGCTTTATCAATCTTGTTTATCTTTTCAAAAACCAACTCTTGGTTCCATTGATCCTTTGTATTTTTTCAAACATTTTCCATTTTATTAATTTTATACTAATATTTATCATTCCTTTGTTTCTACTGGAATTGGAGTTGGATTGTTCTTGTTTCCCTAAGTCCTGGAGATTCCAATGTAGTTCATTTAGTTGAGATCCCTCTTATTTTTTATGGTATGCAGCCACATTTATAACTTTCCATCTTAGCACTGCTTTCATTGTACCCTATAGATCTGGATTGTGTTTCTCTTTTTAATTGATTTTATGGGTCTTTTAATATTTCCCTGACCTGATTTGTGGATGAGCCATACATTGGGTAAAAGTGTATTGCTCATTCTCTAAGAAGGTGTACTGTTTCTGTGTTTTTTTGGTCTCAGTTTGAAATATTATTTTAATATCATCAGATGATATGTGAGGAATTGCTTTGTGTATATGCTAGGAATAGCCTTTATAGCCTACTCTGGAACCTGTTTATGAGAACATTCTATGAGAATGGTGAATATTCTACTATTATCTGAGTAAATATTCTGTAGACATTTTAAAGTCCTTTTCATCAAATGTACGCCTGAAGTCTGTAATTTTTGTTGATTTTTTTTTTTCTGGATGATCACTATATTTGTTAGAGTGATCAATTGAAGTGACCCACACTTATGAAATTGGTGTCATCTGTTTTTTCACTTTAAAAATATTTTTGCATGAAATTAGGGACACTGATATCTTTACAGCCATTAAAACTTCTTGTTGGATTATTCCTTTTACCAGTAGGTAGTAATCTCCTTGTCATGTCTGGTTCTTTGTGGTTTGAAGTCTGCTTTGGCAAATATGAGAAGAGCCAGTGCTCCTTGCATTTGGCTTCCATTTGTATGAAATGGAAATACCATTTTCTATCCTTTCATTCTGAGAGTCTCTTTGAATGTGATGTTTTTTTCTAACACAAACATACAGTTGTGTCTTGATATTTTCCTTCAGTATTCCACTTAATGTCTTTTAATTGAATCGTGAAGCCTATTTGCATTCAGTGTAAATGGTAGACAGGTATGTATTTTTTTCATGGTACTTTGCTTTCTTTTAACATTGGATTCACTCATAATTCACAGTTGCTTACCTACTCTAGTGACATTTATTCTTTCGCATGCTCTATTTTTTTAATCTTTTTTATATGTAGGATTTCTTTGATTACCTTCAGCAGTGCTGGCTTAAATGGTCATGAATTGTTTTAGTTTTGTCCCATGAAAGTGGTTTATGGGTTTTGATTGTTTCCTGCTAGTTTGCTGCATTTGTTCATGAGTTTCAGAAGTTTTCAGGTGCAGTTTCTTGGGTCTTATAAACTGAGAATCATGTCGTTGTGAAATAGAGCATAGTGTTAGGTCTTCTTTTCCTGGATGTAGGCCTCTTCTTTCTCTTTTGTGGATAACAGCTCTGGCTAGAGTGACAAAGAAGTATTTTGAACAGAAGTGGTAAGAGCAGGCATCCCTGACATTTTCCAGTTTTTAGAAGGAATGCTTTCAGTTTGTCTTTATATAGAATGAGGTTGGCCTTGGTTTTAGTATAAGTATATTTCACAATATTGTGGTATGTTTTTACTCTTCCTGGTTTCTTGTGTTTTAACTTTTATTTTGTTAAATGATTTTTCTGCATCTATTGAGATAGTCATGATATTCATGTCTTTTTGTGTCATGATATGGTAAATGATAAGGGTTGTTTTCCCTATGTTCAGCCAACATTCCATCCCTAGAGTGCAACCCACTTGCTTGTAGTGGACTTCTTTTTCATGTGTTTACTATGCAATTTACCAGTATTTTTTAAGAACATTTCCTTATATATTTTTTCTGCTTAATTGATATTTTTAAATACACAACAGCAGTATGCATTACTATTCTTATTACACATATAGAGCACAATTTTTCACATCTTTGTATATAAAGTACGTTCATGCCAATTCCTGTCTTTATACATGTACTTTGTTTTTTTGTATTATAAGTCTTATTATTCATGTGTACCATAATTTTTCATATCTCTGTATATAAAGTAAGTTGACACCCAATTTGTGCCTTCATTCATGTACTTTAAATAATAATGTCCATCACATTCCACCATCCTTGCTAATCCCCTGCCCTCTCCCTTTCTCTCCCACCTCTCTTCCCTATCTAGAATGCATCTATTCCACCCAAGGTCCCTCTACCTACCCCGCTATGAGTCAGCCTCCTTATATCAGAGAAAACATTCAGCATTTGTTTTTTGGGGGGATTTGCTAACTTAGTTAACATTACCTTGTCTAATGCCATCCATTACCTGTAAATGTCATGATTTTATTCTTTTATTGCTGAGTAATATTCCATTGTGTATGCCACACTTTTTTTATCCATTCATCCACTGAAGGGCATCTAGGTTGGATCCACAGTTTAGCTTTGGTGTATTGTGCTGCTATAAACATTGATGTGCCTTGTCCCTGTAGTATGCTGTTTAAAACAAAACAAACCAAATTTCCCTTTATGTACATTAGGATTATTGGCCTGAAGTTTTGTTTCCTTGATGTGTCTTTGTTTGATTTTGGAATCAGCGTGATTCTAACTTCATAGAGGAGTTTGGATGCGTCACCTCCATTTTTTTCTTCATAGAATACTTTGAAGAGGATTGATGGTAATTCTTCATTGAAGGTCTGGTTGAAATCCATTGAGATCCCATTGTGTGCTTTTGCTTTTCATTGTGGCTGGGCTTTGAATAGTATCTTCTATTTCATAGTTTGAAATTGATCTTTTTAATTTTCTATGTTGTCAAGGCTCAGTTTGGGTAGGTAATCTTAATGTAGAAATTTCTCATTGTCTTTATGATTTTCTATGTGATTGGAGTATAAGTTTTGCAAATATTTTCTGATTAGCCTCTCTATTCCAATCTAAAGTTGTCTGTTTGATATTTACTTATACATCATAAACTTTAGACAATTGTATTTTTTCTTCTTTCTCTAATAAGCATGGCTTAAGGTTTATCCATTTTATCTTATTTTTTTAAAAGACCAACTTTTTGTATCATTGTTGTTTTAGAAACTGTTTTGTTGTTTCCATTTCATTGATCTTGCCTCTGATTTTAATTCTTTCCCATCTTGTGCTGCGTTTAGTGTTGATTTGTTCTTCTTTTTCTATTACTTAGGTTATTTATTTGGGGAGTTTCTATTCTTGTAATGAATTAAATCAGTGTTCTGAGCTCTCCTCATTGAACCACCTTCATAATGCCTCTGAGTTTTGGGATATGTTGTGTCTCTATTCTCACTTACTTTTAAGTATTATATTTCGTCCATGATGTCTTCTGCTATCCTTCGGTCAATCAGTTGCATGCATTTAGTTTATATTTCTTGGAGAAGCTTTTATTTTTTATTATGTTGTTGCTTTCTAATTTCATTCTATGATGATCTGATGGGATGCACGGTAAGTTTCCAATTATTTGGATGGACTGAGAGATGCTTTGTGGCCTCAGATGTGGTCTATTTTATAAAATGATCTGTGTGTTGCTGAGAAGAACCTTTATGTAATGCTTGCTCATTACACTTATCATGTTTTTTTTTCTTCCTAGACTTTCTGTGAAGAAAATGGAGAAGTTCGTAAATATTTTTGGCCATCCAAGAATGATGGTAATCTCTTTGGTGACTTTCCATTCTTGTACTGTTTATTGACTTGAAATTACAGAGAGTTTCATGTGTATTTTACTTTTTTTTTTCATGAAAGCAAAATGTGACCAGGACAAGGAAGAAAATCAAGCCTCACATGACAACAATGATTCTGATAAAGGAGCAGAATGTACATTTTGGACTGCTCCTGCCAGAAGAATCAAAGTCAAGAGCTTGCATGGTACTCCTCCTTCGTCACCTGACACGAAGGTAAGGCTCCTCGTAACAAATTTTTCCCACTCCCCCTTTTTAACATATCATCCTCCATATCCTTATAATGGTGATACTGATCCTAAAAAGAAATATAAGGCCCCTAGTAGTTCACAATAGCAAATGAGTATAGCACCAAGAAAGAATTATGTGCAGGATTGAGATTTGTAGATGTTGGTAAAAGGAAAGATTTTCATGTACGCTGTTGAGGAAGGAAAGAAGTAGAAAGAAAACCAAATGAATAGCTGAAAGCTAGGTGAATCTTAAGGTTAGAAGGCAAAAAAATATGAAGTAGTCTTTAAAGAAGAGCAACATAACTGTGTAGATTGAATAAGAGAGTGAACACAAAGGATATACTGCAAACAACAAAATTAGAGAAGTGAAGATTAGCAGGAACTGTAGACAAGAGTCTATTGAAACACTTGAAATTCATTTCAACTAAGAAGTGAAAGAAATATAATTTGTCTTTCTAGTTTTAGGAGTAACCACACCCTCCTGATTTCCATAGTGTCTGTGATAATATTCATCCTCATAGATGAATTCTAGATAGGGCAGAGGAGTGGGAGGGAAAAGGAGAGGGCAGGGCATTAGCAAGGTTGGTGGAATGTGATAGATATCATTATCCAAAGTACAAGTATAAAGGCATGAATTGGTGTCAACCTACTTTATATACAACTAGAGATATGAAAAATTGTACTGTATATGTGTAATAAGAATTGTGATGCATTCTGCTGTCATTTATTTAAAAAATCAACAAAAAGTAATATTCATCCTCAACAATAATGTTGAAGAATTCCTATTCCCCATATTATCATTGTAGTTTATTTCTTGTATTCTTAAATATTGCCTTTCTGAATGGGGTAAGATAGACTCTGAATTGAAATTGATTTGCATGTCCCTGATGGCTAAAGACAGTGAATAGCACTTCATATAAATGCTGAGCAATTATACATTTTCCTTTGTGACCTCTCTGTTCATGTGCCATTGATTAAATGGGTTGTTTTTATTTCCAGTGCTGAATTTCAGTCTTATTTTATACTTATTATACCAGTCCTTTGTCAAAGATTAACCAGCAAGGATTTTCCTCCATGCAATAAACTTTCTCCTTACTCTGTTAATAGTTTCCTTTGCTCTTCTGAAGATTTTATTTGAGTGCACTTCTGTTTGTGTCTTTTTGCTATTATTTCCTCTGCTATAATATTCCTGTTCGTAAAGCCTTAGTCTAGTTATATGATGATATATTTCCCCGGATTATCTAGAAGCATTAGCAGCACATCTACTCTGAATCCATATTTTGTATCTGCTTTGTGTTGTCTTGTGCATGGGGAGATATAGAGATCTATATCATTCTTCAACATATGGATATCCAGTTTAACAATACCATGTGTTTTTCTATAAAGTGCCTTATGGTTGAATATGAGTTGAGCTCATTGTGATATAATCATACATGCATTTTGTTGGTACCATTTCAGACCCGGGTTCCTCCCTTTCCTTTTTCTCCCCCCTCACCTTCCTCTCCTCTACTAGATACCTTTACACTCATTTAATAAAAATAAAAATTTTTAATCAGTGTTTATTGAGATACATAAAAGTGGAGCTCACCATGGTATACTTACACATGGACGTCAAGTAATTATGTCACATTCATTGCACATTCCCTCTAGGAATCTAACCTTTCTCCTTCCCCATCAGTCATTTTCTACTTCACTAATCTTCCCTTAACTTCATGATATCCATTCCACCATTGTTCCTCTTCTGTTGCTTTAGCTTTGCTTATGAAAGAAAACTTTTCTGTGCTTGATTTTCTCATTTCACTTATTGCATTTTGTACGACATTCTCCAATTTCATCCATTTATTGGCTCATAGAAAAATCTCATTCAAAAAGACAGAGTAAAAGTTTTCTGTGTATATATACCACATTTATATTCCATTCAGTACGTCTTGGCTACTTGTTTTACTATAGACATTGATGTATTTGTATCCCCATTGGTCTGCTGATTTTACCACTTTGGACAAACACAGAGGAGTATATCTCCACATGGTGGTTTCATTCGCAGTTTTTTGAGAAATCTCCATTCTCCCTCCCAGAGTGTTTGCACTAACTTGTCGTCCCACCAACAATGTGTGAGTGTACCTTTTCTCCAAATTTTCTTCGACCTTTATTGTCTGTATTCTTGATGTTTAACATTCTAACTGAATTCAGAGGAAAATCTCTGTGTACTTTTGACTTGCATTTCCTTGATTACTAGATATTTTGAACATTTTTTTCTTACATATTTAATCATTTATGTTTCTTCTCTTGAGAAATGTTTGCTTAGTTCTTATTCATTGACTTAATTGTGTTCATGATATTAAATGTTTTGTATTCTTTATAAATTCTTATTTATTCCCTCTCAGGGGAGTTGTAGATAAGATTTTCTCCTCTTCTGTAGGTTCCCTCTTCAATCTCTTTATCATTTCCTTTGTTGCCAGGTCCTTTTTCAAGAAACTTTCTTTTTCCATGCATTTGTTCTTGACATTTCTGTCCAGGAATCAGATGACTGCAAATTTGTGGATCTGTCTTTGTGTTTTCAGTCAGTTCTGGTTTGTTTTAATGCCAGGGTCATGCTGTTTTCCTTACTATTGCTCTGTGTTATACTTTGAAATTGTGTATTATATTGCATTCTTCATTGCTCTTATGTTTCAAGTTTTCATTTTCAATTTTTGGTCTTTTTTTCAACCATATGAATTTCAGAATAATTTTTTCAGTTCCATGAATATCATTGGATTTTTGATAGAAATTGCATAAAATCTGTGAATCACTTTCTGAATATAGATATGTTCCCAACATCGTCTGCCTTTTCTTGAATATTAGATGTTATCTATTTTCTGATGATTTCTTTTTCTTCTTCTTTTTGCTCTTGAGACTTCTTTAATTTCATTTTATCATTCTCCCATTTGCCTCTTTGAATTGGATTTACTCCTACATGATTTTGCTTCTACTATAAATGTAGATGTTATCCTAATGTCAGTTTCAGTGTGGTTGTTTTTATTGTATGGATGTATTCTTCATATTTGTATTGTGAAGTTGTTTTTATTCCTAAAATTGCTAAAATTCTATATCCCATCTTAACTTCTTCTGGTAGAGCCTTGAGAATGTTCTCAAAGAGGATCACATGATCTGTACACAATAATTTGACTTCTTTTTATTTACTTTTCCTGTCTAATTGACTTCTTACTTTTTATTCACTTCCTCTTTCTAATTGCTCTGAATAAAATTTCATTGAATACCTTTAAATGTGAGATCTGGTGAACAAGCACACCTCATCCTTAGTTCTGAATCTAGAGAAAATGTCATAGATTTTCCACCATTCAATATGCCCTTTACTTTGGATTTGGAATACACAGCCTTTATAATACTACAGCAAGTTTCTGATGTCCTCTGTTTTAAAAACTTCTCATTAAAGACTGTTGAATTTTGTCAGAGGCTTCTTCTGTCCTGTATCTCTGAGGTATACAGCATTTCTTGATTTCCATTGTTAAACCATTCATGAATTTTATTGTATATAATTATGGAAATATGTTGTTGAAATTGTTTTGCAGTATTTCATGAAGGTTTTTGCAAATATCTTCAAAATGAATATTATTAAATCTATTTCTTTCCCTTTTGTTTTATTATCCAAATTTCCTGTAAGTGTGATTTTACCTCATTGAATGCATTTGCCAGTTTCTTCCCTTTTATATCCCTTGTTATCTTTGGGGGAGCATCGGTGTTGGTTCTTATTGGAAGGTCTGAAACAATTCAGCCATGAATCTCTGTGGTCCTGAGCTTTTGTTTTTGGAAGGCTGATTATTACTAGTTCAATATAATTGCATGCTGCTTGTCTGTTTAGATTTTCAGTATTCTTTTGATTCTATTTTTGTACGTCATACATTTCTAGAACTCTATCCAATTCTTCTACATTTTCTACTTTTTATAATGTAAATTATCCAAATAGTGCTCTGGATTTCCCATTTATTAGCATTTAACTTTTCAATATAGTCCTTAATTGTCTTTGAATTTCAGAAACGTGTCTGTTGTAAGATCCATATTTTTGCCTGTAAATTTATTCATTTGTATTTTCTTTCTCTTTATTCTTTATAGTGTCTCAGTGTTTAGATATGTTGTGTCTTTATTCTCACTTTTAAGTATTCTTAGATATCATCCATGCTGTACTATTATTTACTCTAGAGGTGTTAGAATAGCTTTTATTTTTTATTGTATTGTTACTTTCTAATTTCATTCCATTATCTGATGGCATGCAAGGAACCACGTCTCATGTTTTTGATGTATTAACTGATGCTTTGTGGCCTCATATGTGGTCTGTTTTAGAAAATGATCTGTGCCCTTCAGAGAAGAAAGTGTATGTAAGACTTGCTCATTACAGTTACCATGTTTTTATCATTTTTCCCTTTCTAGACTGTCCATGAAGGGAAAGGAGAAGTTCATAAATATTTTTGGCAATCCAGGAATGATGGTAATCTCTTTGAGACTGCTCATTTTTGTGCTGTTTATCAATTTGAAGTTAGAGAGAATTTCATGAGTGTTTTACTTCTTTTTTTATCATAAAAGGAAAATATGACCAGAATAAGCAAGGAAATCGAACCTTGCTAGACAGCAGTCATTCTGATAATGAAGCAGAAAATGTAGTTTGGAACACTTGTCCAAAAAATATGAAAGTAAAGAGCTTGCATGGTACTCCTCCTACTTCACGTGGCAAGAAGGTAAGATGCATTCTAAGACTTTTTTCCCAGGCCCTGTTAACATATCATCTCCCATATCCTCATAATGGTGACATTGATCCTAGAAAAAAATATAAGGTTCCTACTAGTTCACCATAGCAAATAAGCACAGCACCAAGAAAGACATGTGTCCAGGATTGTGATTCGTAGAAGTTTTGGCGTGTAATCAGTGGTTAGGAATGCTCTTTCAGAAGGAAATAAGTAGAGAGAAAACCAAATGAATACCTAGGTGAATCTGAATGTGAGAAAGGGGAGAAAAATGGGAATTATTCCTGAAAGAAGAATGACATAACTATTTAGATTGAGTGAGAGAGTGAAGACAAAGAGGTAGTACAAACACAACAAGAAGAGTGAAGTTAAGGATAGCTGGAACTGTAGAATAGATTCGTCTGAAACACTTGAAATGCATTTTAATTAAGAAGTGAAAGAAATACAATTCTCACTTCTTTCAAATCTATGAAATACTTGTGTAGTTCCAATGTGCAGAGTTGTGTGAGTGGAATACTGGAATCAGTGAAGATCTTACCATGTGTAACAATTAAGTGGACAAGTCAGGCAGGGAGAGAGCCAGCCTCATAAAAATGTAGCAGGAGAATATTGTGGACAGAGAGAACATTTGTTTACCATTCTTCTTCTCACATTGTGGAGTGGCAGGATCACAGGTGTTAGAAAACATGACCACAGTCATTTTGTGATTCTAAAATATACAAACATATGCATAAATATAACTACACATATTAGATACTTAATAAATTTATTCACTTCCCAACTTATTGAGATTTGGAATAATTATTTTATCTGATCAGTAATGAATTATAGATTGAAAATGATTAAGATGGTCAAAGTTTTGGGACAATGCACATTGGTTTTACAGAATAGAGGGTTTCACTGTGGTATACTTGCATACGTGTATAAGTTAGTTTGAAGCAGGTCACTCACAAAATATTATTCTATGTGTTCTTTTTTTAAATATAAGACATCCTAACATAAAACTAGTAGATTTCTCATTCATTGCCATTAAACGTTCCTTAGTAGTATCAAGTGGTCCGCTGGATTTCAAAAAACTGTTGGTTATAAGAACCACATTTTGGATAGTAAATTATTTCACTTGTTTCTTCTGTCTCTCTCCTTTGGTTACTTTGGTTCAGATTTATAAGACTTGTTTCTCTTCTCAAAAACACAACTCTCTTTTTCATTCATATTCTTTTTCGTTCCTTTGGCATGAATATGTATCATCTGTTCATTTGTCCTGGATTTGGAGTGGGATTGTTCTTGTTTCCCTAAGACCTCGAGTTTCATCTCTAGGCTATATAGTTGAGATCCCTCTGATAAGGTATGTAGCCTTATAAGATATGTAGCCTTATAACTTATATAGTTGAGATCCCTCTGATAAGGTATGTAGCCACATTTATACTTTTCCTCTTTGACTGCATTCATTGTGTGTAGCAGACACTGGGATGTGTTTTTCATTTCAGTTGATTCTAATGATCTATTAATCTTTTTGCTGATTTCTTGGAGGACTGATTCTTCATGCCAAAGTGTATATGGCTCATTGTCTTGTGATTGTGCTCTATCTATCCCTTTTTTTGGTGTGCATTTGAAATGTTATTTGAATGGCATCTGATAATATGAAAGGAATCACTTTGATTTCGGTGTGTACTTGCTAAGAATTGTCTTCATGACCTATATGGAGTCTGTTTTAGAGCAAATTCCATAAGAAGCCTGAGTGCAGCACTTTTTTTCTGAGGAAGTATTCCATAGATACCTGTAAAGTCCTCAGGATCAAAAAGTACAGTTGAATTCTGTAGGAATGGTTGATATTTTGTCTGAGCGAAATACCTCTTAGTGAGTTTGGCAGAGTGAAGTGACCCAAACTTGTTTTACAGGGCCCCTGTGTCCCTTTCCTTGGAGCAGTTTGTGGCTGATGTAATTGGGGGCATTGGTGTTCCAGGCACAGTCCTTTACCATTCTTGTTGGATTACTCCTTTTTCTAGTAGGTGTGATCTTCTTTGTCACCTCTGGCTAATGGAGGGTTGAAGTCTGCTGTAGCAAATATGACAATAGCTATTGCTCCTTGCTGTTGGCATCCATCAGCATGAAATGCAAATACTATTTTCCATTCTTGCGATCTCTGCAACTCTGTGCATGTGAAGTACATTTTCTGCCGACAATATGCATTTGGGTCTTGATTTCTTCACTTAATATTCCACGCAGTGCCTTTAATTGAAGAATCAAGCTCATTTACATTTGGTATGAATGGTGAGAGGTACATGTTACTTGGTGCCATTTTGCTTCATTTGATTTCTGTTGGAGTCAGTCATAATTCACATTGCTTACGTATATTAAGATTTATTCTTTCCCATGCTCCACACTGTCTGATTTTAGTGTTCTTCTTTCACATGTAGGATTGTCTCAGTACTTTCAAGATTGCTTCCTTAGTGCCCCTGTATCGCTTTTAGTTTTCTCTTAGCAATTCAGTGATGGGTGTTAACTGTGTATTGTGCTCCTTTTCTCAATTGCTTTCTTTGTTCTAAATTTTTCTGGTGAACATTTAAAATCTTCTAAGTACAGAATCATGTTGTAGTAAAACCACACTACTTTTAGCTGCTGGTTTCCTGTATGAAACACTTTCTTCTTCTCCTTGGCCTAATAGCACTGGCTAGAGTGACACAGAATGTTTTGAACAGAAATGATAAAAGGGGGCATCTTCAGTCTTGTTTCATGTCTAAGAAATATGGTTTGTGTTGTCTCCGTTTTGAATGAGATTGACTTTGAGTTTACTATAAAAAGCTTTTACAAGGTTGAGGTATGTTCCTACTATCACTTGTTTTTCTTGTGTTTTGAACCCTTATTTTGGGAAATGCTTATCCTGCCTCTATTGAGAATACCTAGGATTCTGGTCTCTGTCTGTGTTGGTATGCTGAATGGCATCTGTTGGTTTCCATCTATAGAGCCAAAGGAGTATCCCGAGATGAAACGCATGGGATTGTGGTGTCCTATCTTTTTCTTGTGTTTGGAAAGTGAATTGCCCACATTTTATTAAGATCTTCTGCATTTATTTTCATAAGGATTATTGGCCTCAAGTTTTGTATCCTCATGTGTCTTTATCTAGTTTTGGAATCCTGGGGATGCTGCATTCATAGAATGAGTCTGGCCGGGTTCACTTCATTTCTCCTAAATGGAATGTCTTGAGGGGGGGTTTCTATTAACTCTTTTTAGAAGGTCTGCTTGAACTGGAAGAGGCTTCCATTGGGTCCTGGGCTTTGCTTTGCTGGTAGGCTTTTGAGCATAACTTCAATTTCATGGCTTGATTTGTATGTGTTTGAATTTGAGATGGGCATTTGGGTAGGCAATGCTGGTATAATTTCCCAAATAGTTTCTGATTATCCTCTCCATTTCATTGTTCCCCATGGTGATTGTTCCTTTTCATCCCAAATTTCAGGAAATTGAGTCTTGTACATCTTTCTCTGGATAGTGTGCACAAACTTACATGAAATTTCTGGTTGGTTTCAAAGAACCAAGTTTGTATATTGTTGATTTGGTTGGAACCTTGTTGTTTTCATTTCTTAAAGTTTGGTTCAAATTTCAATTATGTGCCATCAAGGGCTGCTTTCAGTGTTGATTTCTTCTTTTTCCATGGCCTTGAAATGTAATGGGAGGTTTGTGTCTGGGAGATTTTCTGTTCTCATAAGGAATAAGATCAGGGCTGTGAACCTTCTTCTCTGATCAACCTTCTGAGTATCCCTGGGTTGTGGATATGTTGTGTGGCTGTTCTCAGTAACCTTGAAGTATTATTTATTTCATCTATCGTGTCTTCTGCTCTCCAGTATTTGATCACTGAGTCTAGGGGGCTAGAGGGGCTCCTGTGTTTTTATTCTACTGATGATTTCTGATTTCATTGCATAAAAGTCTGATGGAACGCCAGGTATTCTCCCTAATTTTTTCCTATGAACTGATCCTTGCTTTGTGGCATCAGATGTGGTGTGTTTTAGAAAATGATCTCTGTGCTGCCGAGAAGAAAGTGTCTTTATAGTGCTTGCTAATTCCTGGCATCCTGTGTTTTTCCTTCCCAGAATGCCCCTGAAGAAAAAGAAGAAGTATGTGAAAACTTCCGGCCATCCAGGAATCATGGTAATGTCTTTGAAGACTGCCAAGTGTGCTATTCATTAACTTACAATTACACAGAGTTTCATGTATGTTTTACTTTCGACTTATTCCCATAACAGGTAAAATCGACCTCGGGAAACAAGAACACCGAGAATTGCTGGACAGCAATCATACCAAGAGTGAAAGAGAACATGAGGTTTCCACCTCCCATTTAATACATACCACGAAGAAGGGCTTGCGTGATGCTAACCCTTCATCACCTGACCCCAAGGTAAGGCATGTTTTAATACTTGTTTCCCATCCCCTGGCCACATCTTTGATTTCTTCTTCTATTTTTTGTTTGTTGTTTTAGCATATCATCTCTTCTATCCTCATAATGGTGACAATGATCCTACACAGAGGGCCCCTAACTCAGGGTCACAAAAGAAAATAAGTGTCTCACCAGGAGAGGCATAAGGATAGGATTGTACTTTGTGGGAGTCAAGAACTGTCAGGCCTGAGAATGTGGAATAAAGAACTAGAAAGCAAAGCCAATGCATAGCTACTGGAACCTGGAAGAGGGAATTTCATGCCCCCAAATAAACCATTGTTTGAGTGCTGACTAGAGTTTTTCAGTAAAGAGTGGGCATTAGTACATTGGGCCCTTTTGAGTTTTAGGAGTAAGCTCCATTCTGATTCCCATAGTGCATGGTAGTAATAAGCATCCTCACCAACAATGTTGAAGCATTTCTTTTTCCACATGATCATCAGTGTGTATCTTTTTTGTTCTCAACATTACCTTCCCGAATGGGGTCAGATGGACTCGCTGTTGAAATTGGATTTGCATGTCCCTGATGTGTGAAGACTGGGATTGTTACTATCTTGATGAGCTGAGCGATTATCCATGTTCCTTTGTGCACTTCGAGATCATGTGCCATTGGTTAAATGGGCTGTTTGTCTTCCCAGAGCTCAGTACCTTTAGCTGTTTATATATTTAGTATGACAATCCACTTTCCAAGAGAAACTGGCAAAAGCTCATCTCCTAGGCTATATGCTTTCTCCTCACCCTGTGAATGGTGTTCTTTGCTGTTCTGCAGATTGAATTTGGATGCGCTCTTGTTTACCACTTCTTGCGAGCACGTTCTCACATGCAATATTCCTCTTCCTAAAGTCTTATTCGATGCCTATATTCGGAGTTGTTTCCCCTGTATTCCTTCCAATGGCTGCCCTGTTTCACATTTGTATATCTAGGTTTGTTACCCCTCTTGTGTTGTGTTGTGTTGTGCATGGGGAGAAACAGAGACCTAGTTTCACTCTTCTTGGTATGGATATCCAGTTTGCCCAATTCCATCCGTTTTGCTTTTGCATTGGATTAAACATGATAGTTGGGTTCATATGGACATATTCATACACGTGTTTTTTTTACACCATTCAGACCCTGGTTCCTCTCTCTTATTTCCCTCCACCCTCAACTTGCTCTAATCTACTGGTCTAACTCATTCGTTGATGTAGTGATTATTTATAGATATACATTGAATTGCAATTCACCATATATAATTTCATGCTTGTAGAGTATTTTCCTCAACATTCCCTCCACTACCCTAACTCTTGTGTCCTCCCAATGATATTTTTCTGCTCTACTAAACTTTGGTTTCACTTCAGGATATCCATGCCTATCTTGTTCCTAGTAGGTTGCTTTATCTTCTGCCTTGATTGGAATCCTCTCAATGCTCCATATTCTCATGTGACTTCTTGAATTGAGCATGGTATTCTCCACTTCCTTCCACTCATCGAAAATGATATAAGGTCATTCTTCAACATATACGAAAACTTGTTCATGTATATACGCCTCATTGTATCATCCATTCAATGTGTTGCTGCTGGTAAGGGTTGTGCGGCTACAGACATTGATACACTTGTGTCCCTGCTTGTCAGATGAACCCAAAAGAGGCATGGATATCAAGATCCTGGGGTGTTTCCATTGCTTGTTTTTGGAGGAATCTCCATAGTGCTTCCCACAGTGATTGCCCTAATGTGTGGTTGCCCATATGTGTGGTTGCCCTAATGTCTGTTGTTTTGCATCTCTGGAGCCCAAATTGCATCCCGAGATGGATCGCATGGGATCCTAGTGGTGTCCTATCTTTTTCCTGTGCTTTGGTAAGTGAATTACCCATGTTTTACGAAGATCTTCTGCATTTATTTTCATGAGGATTATTGGCCTCAAGTTTTGTTTCCTGATGGGTCTTTGTCTGGTTTTGGAATCGGGGTGATGCGGCATTCATAGAATGAGTCTGGCCGGGTTCCCTCCATTTCTCCATAATGGAATGGTTTCAGGGGGTTTCCCATTAACTCGTTTGAAAAGGACTGGTTGAACTGGGCTCAGCTTCCATCAGGTCCTGGGCTTTCCTTTGTTGGTAGGTTTCAGGGCATCTTCAATTTCATTGCTGGATTTGGATCTGTTGAAATTTCTGATGTGCATTTGGGTAGGCAATGCAGGTATAAGTTTCCCAAATAGTTTCTGATTATCCTCTCTATTTCATTGTGCTCCACGGTGATCGATCCTTTTCATCCCAAATTTCAGGAAATTGAGTCTTGTCCCTCTTTCTCTGGATAGTGTGCATAAACTTTGATCAAATTTACGGTAGGTTTCAAAGAACCAAGTTTGTCTATTGTTGAATTTGTTGGAACCTTGTTGCTTTCATTTCTTAAAGTTTGGTTCTGATTTCAATTATTTGCCTTCAAGGGCTGCTTTTAGTGTTGATCTCTTCTTTTTCCATGGCCTTGAAATGTAATGGGAGGTTTGTGTCTGGGAGATTTTCTGTCCTCATAAGGAGTAAGATCAGGGCTGTGAACCTTCTTCTCTGATCAACCTTCTGAGTATCCCTGGGTTGTGGATATGTTGTGTGGCTGTTCTCAGTAACCTTGAAGTATTATTTATTTCATCTATCGTGTCTTCTGCTCTCCAGTATTTGATCACTGAGTCTAGGGGGCTAGAGGGGCTCCTGTGTTTTTATTCTACTGTTGATTTCTGATTTCATTGCATAAAAGTCTGATGGAACGCCAGGTATTCTCCCTAATTTTTTCCTATGAACTGATCCATGCTTTGTGGCATCAGATGTGGTGTGTTTTAGAAAATGATCTCTGTGCTGCCGAGAAGAAAGTGTCTTTATAGTGCTTGCTAATTCCTGGCATCCTGTGTTTTTCCTTCCCAGAATGCCCCTGAAGAAAAAGAAGAAGTATGTGAAAACTTCCGGCCATCCAGGAATCATGGTAATGTCTTTGAAGACTGCCAAGTGTGCTATTCATTAACTTACAATTACACAGAGTTTCATGTATGTTTTACTTTCGACTTATTCCCATAACAGGTAAAATCGACCTCGGGAAACAAGAACACCGAGAATTGCTGGACAGCAATCATACCAAGAGTGAAAGAGAACATGAGGTTTCCACCTCCCATTTAATACATACCACGAAGAAGGGCTTGCGTGATGCTAACCCTTCATCACCTGACCCCAAGGTAAGGCATGTTTTAATACTTGTTTCCCATCCTCTGGCCACATCTTTGATTTCTTCTTCTATTTTTTGTTTGTTGTTTTAGCATATCATCTCTTCTATCCTCATAATGGTGACAATGATCCTACACAGAGGGCCCCTAACTCAGGGTCACAAAAGAAAATAAGTGTCTCACCAGGAGAGGCATAAGGATAGGATTGTACTTTGTGGGAGTCAAGAACTGTCAGGCCTGAGAATGTGGAATAAAGAACTAGAAAGCAAAGCCAATGCATAGCTACTGGAACCTGGAAGAGGGAATTTCATGCCCCCAAATAAACCATTGTTTGAGTGCTGACTAGAGTTTTTCAGTAAAGAGTGGGCATTAGTACATTGGGCCCTTTTGAGTTTTAGGAGTAAGCTCCATTCTGATTCCCATAGTGCATGGTAGTAATAAGCATCCTCACCAACAATGTTGAAGCATTTCTTTTTCCACATGATCATCAGTGTGTATCTTTTTTGTTCTCAACATTACCTTCCCGAATGGGGTCAGATGGACTCGCTGTTGAAATTGGATTTGCATGTCCCTGATGTGTGAAGACTGGGATTGTTACTATCTTGATGAGCTGAGCGATTATCCATGTTCCTTTGTGCACTTCGAGATCATGTGCCATTGGTTAAATGGGCTGTTTGTCTTCCCAGAGCTCAGTACCTTTAGCTGTTTATATATTTAGTATGACAATCCACTTTCCAAGAGAAACTGGCAAAAGCTCATCTCCTAGGCTATATGCTTTCTCCTCACCCTGTGAATGGTGTTCTTTGCTGTTCTGCAGATTGAATTTGGATGCGCTCTTGTTTACCACTTCTTGCGAGCACGTTCTCACATGCAATATTCCTCTTCCTAAAGTCTTATTCGATGCCTATATTCGGAGTTGTTTCCCCTGTATTCCTTCCAATGGCTGCCCTGTTTCACATTTGTATATCTAGGTTTGTTACCCCTCTTGTGTTGTGTTGTGTTGTGCATGGGGAGAAACAGAGACCTAGTTTCACTCTTCTTGGTATGGATATCCAGTTTGCCCAATTCCATCCGTTTTGCTTTTGCATTGGATTAAACATGATAGTTGGGTTCATATGGACATATTCATACACGTGTTTTTTTTACACCATTCAGACCCTGGTTCCTCTCTCTTATTTCCCTCCACCCTCAACTTGCTCTAATCTACTGGTCTAACTCATTCGTTGATGTAGTGATTATTTATAGATATACATTGAATTGCAATTCACCATGATATAATTTCATGCTTGTAGAGTATTTTCCTCAACATTCCCTCCACTACCCTAACTCTTGTGTCCTCCCAATGATATTTTTCTGCTCTACTAAACTTTGGTTTCACTTCAGGATATCCATGCCTATCTTCTTCCTAGTAGGTTGCTTTATCTTCTGCCTTGATTGGAATCCTTTCAATGCTCCATATTCTCATGTGACTTCTTGAATTGAGCATGGTATTCTCCACTTCCTTCCGCTCATCGAAAATGGTATAAGTTCATTCTTCAAGATATACTAAAACTTGTTCGTGTATATACGCCTCACTGTATAATCCATTCAACATGTCACTGATGGTAAGAGTTATGCGGCTACAGACATTGATACACTTGTGTCCCTGCTTGTCAGATGAACCCAAAAGAGGCGTGGATATCAAGATCCTGGGGTGTTTCCATTGCTTGTTTTTGGAGGAATCTCCATAGTGCTTCCCACAGTGATTGCCCTAATGTGTGGTTGCCCATATGTGTGGTTGCCCTAATGTCTGTTGTTTTGCATCTCTGGAGCCCAAATTGCATCCCCAGATGAATCGCATGGGATCCTAGTGGTGTCCTATCTTTTTCCTGTGCTTTGGTAAGTGAATTACCCATGTTTTACGAAGATCTTCTGCATTTATTTTCATGAGGATTATTGGCCTCAAGTTTTGTTTCCTGATGGGTCTTTGTCTGGTTTTGGAATCGGGGTGATGCGGCATTCATAGAATGAGTCTGGCCGGGTTCCCTCCATTTCTCCATAATGGAATGGTTTCAGGGGGTTTCCCATTAACTCGTTTGAAAAGGACTGGTTGAACTGGGCTCAGCTTCCATCAGGTCCTGGGCTTTCCTTTGTTGGTAGGTTTCAGGGCATCTTCAATTTCATTGCTGGATTTGGATCTGTTGAAATTTCTGATGTGCATTTGGGTAGGCAATGCAGGTATAAGTTTCCCAAATAGTTTCTGATTATCCTCTCTATTTCATTGTGCTCCACGGTGATCGATCCTTTTCATCCCAAATTTCAGGAAATTGAGTCTTGTCCCTCTTTCTCTGGATAGTGTGCATAAACTTTGATCAAATTTACGGTAGGTTTCAAAGAACCAAGTTTGTCTATTGTTGAATTTGTTGGAACCTTGTTGCTTTCATTTCTTAAAGTTTGGTTCTGATTTCAATTATTTGCCTTCAAGGGCTGCTTTTAGTGTTGATCTCTTCTTTTTCCATGGCCTTGAAATGTAATGGGAGGTTTGTGTCTGGGAGATTTTCTGTCCTCATAAGGAGTAAGATCAGGGCTGTGAACCTTCTTCTCTGATCAACCTTCTGAGTATCCCTGGGTTGTGGATATGTTGTGTGGCTGTTCTCAGTAACCTTGAAGTATTATTTATTTCATCTATCGTGTCTTCTGCTCTCCAGTATTTGATCACTGAGTCTAGGGGGCTAGAGGGGCTCCTGTGTTTTTATTCTACTGTTGATTTCTGATTTCATTGCATAAAAGTCTGATGGAACGCCAGGTATTCTCCCTAATTTTTTCCTATGAACTGATCCTTGCTTTGTGGCATCAGATGTGGTGTGTTTTAGAAAATGATCTCTGTGCTGCCGAGAAGAAAGTGTCTTTATAGTGCTTGCTAATTCCTGGCATCCTGTGTTTTTCCTTCCCAGAATGCCCCTGAAGAAAAAGAAGAAGTATGTGAAAACTTCCGGCCATCCAGGAATCATGGTAATGTCTTTGAAGACTGCCAAGTGTGCTATTCATTAACTTACAATTACACAGAGTTTCATGTATGTTTTACTTTCGACTTATTCCCATAACAGGTAAAATCGACCTCGGGAAACAAGAACACCGAGAATTGCTGGACAGCAATCATACCAAGAGTGAAAGAGAACATGAGGTTTCCACCTCCCATTTAATACATACCACGAAGAAGGGCTTGCGTGATGCTAACCCTTCATCACCTGACCCCAAGGTAAGGCATGTTTTAATACTTGTTTCCCATCCCCTGGCCACATCTTTGATTTCTTCTTCTATTTTTTGTTTGTTGTTTTAGCATATCATCTCTTCTATCCTCATAATGGTGACAATGATCCTACACAGAGGGCCCCTAACTCAGGGTCACAAAAGAAAATAAGTGTCTCACCAGGAGAGGCATAAGGATAGGATTGTACTTTGTGGGAGTCAAGAACTGTCAGGCCTGAGAATGTGGAATAAAGAACTAGAAAGCAAAGCCAATGCATAGCTACTGGAACCTGGAAGAGGGAATTTCATGCCCCCAAATAAACCATTGTTTGAGTGCTGACTAGAGTTTTTCAGTAAAGAGTGGGCATTAGTACATTGGGCCCTTTTGAGTTTTAGGAGTAAGCTCCATTCTGATTCCCATAGTGCATGGTAGTAATAAGCATCCTCACCAACAATGTTGAAGCATTTCTTTTTCCACATGATCATCAGTGTGTATCTTTTTTGTTCTCAACATTACCTTCCCGAATGGGGTCAGATGGACTCGCTGTTGAAATTGGATTTGCATGTCCCTGATGTGTGAAGACTGGGATTGTTACTATCTTGATGAGCTGAGCGATTATCCATGTTCCTTTGTGCACTTCGAGATCATGTGCCATTGGTTAAATGGGCTGTTTGTCTTCCCAGAGCTCAGTACCTTTAGCTGTTTATATATTTAGTATGACAATCCACTTTCCAAGAGAAACTGGCAAAAGCTCATCTCCTAGGCTATATGCTTTCTCCTCACCCTGTGAATGGTGTTCTTTGCTGTTCTGCAGATTGAATTTGGATGCGCTCTTGTTTACCACTTCTTGCGAGCACGTTCTCACATGCAATATTCCTCTTCCTAAAGTCTTATTCGATGCCTATATTCGGAGTTGTTTCCCCTGTATTCCTTCCAATGGCTGCCCTGTTTCACATTTGTATATCTAGGTTTGTTACCCCTCTTGTGTTGTGTTGTGTTGTGCATGGGGAGAAACAGAGACCTAGTTTCACTCTTCTTGGTATGGATATCCAGTTTGCCCAATTCCATCCGTTTTGCTTTTGCATTGGATTAAACATGATAGTTGGGTTCATATGGACATATTCATACACGTGTTTTTTTTACACCATTCAGACCCTGGTTCCTCTCTCTTATTTCCCTCCACCCTCAACTTGCTCTAATCTACTGGTCTAACTCATTCGTTGATGTAGTGATTATTTATAGATATACATTGAATTGCAATTCACCATGATATAATTTCATGCTTGTAGAGTATTTTCCTCAACATTCCCTCCACTACCCTAACTCTTGTGTCCTCCCAATGATATTTTTCTGCTCTACTAAACTTTGGTTTCACTTCAGGATATCCATGCCTATCTTGTTCCTAGTAGGTTGCTTTATCTTCTGCTTGATTGGAATCCTTTCAATGCTCCATATTCTCATGTGACTTCTTGAATTGAGCATGGTATTCTCCACTTCCTTCCGCTCATCGAAAATGGTATAAGTTCATTCTTCAAGATATACTAAAACTTGTTCGTGTATATACGCCTCACTGTATAATCCATTCAACATGTCACTGATGGTAAGAGTTATGCGGCTACAGACATTGATACACTTGTGTCCCTGCTTGTCAGATGAACCCAAAAGAGGCGTGGATATCAAGATCCTGGGGTGTTTCCATTGCTTGTTTTTGGAGGAATCTCCATAGTGCTTCCCACAGTGATTGCCCTAATGTGTGGTTGCCCATATGTGTGGTTGCCCTAATGTCTGTTGTTTTGCATCTCTGGAGCCCAAATTGCATCCCCAGATGAATCGCATGGGATCCTAGTGGTGTCCTATCTTTTTCCTGTGCTTTGGTAAGTGAATTACCCATGTTTTACGAAGATCTTCTGCATTTATTTTCATGAGGATTATTGGCCTCAAGTTTTGTTTCCTGATGGGTCTTTGTCTGGTTTTGGAATCGGGGTGATGCGGCATTCATAGAATGAGTCTGGCCGGGTTCCCTCCATTTCTCCATAATGGAATGGTTTCAGGGGGTTTCCCATTAACTCGTTTGAAAAGGACTGGTTGAACTGGGCTCAGCTTCCATCAGGTCCTGGGCTTTCCTTTGTTGGTAGGTTTCAGGGCATCTTCAATTTCATTGCTGGATTTGGATCTGTTGAAATTTCTGATGTGCATTTGGGTAGGCAATGCAGGTATAAGTTTCCCAAATAGTTTCTGATTATCCTCTCTATTTCATTGTGCTCCACGGTGATCGATCCTTTTCATCCCAAATTTCAGGAAATTGAGTCTTGTCCCTCTTTCTCTGGATAGTGTGCATAAACTTTGATCAAATTTACGGTAGGTTTCAAAGAACCAAGTTTGTCTATTGTTGAATTTGTTGGAACCTTGTTGCTTTCATTTCTTAAAGTTTGGTTCTGATTTCAATTATTTGCCTTCAAGGGCTGCTTTTAGTGTTGATCTCTTCTTTTTCCATGGCCTTGAAATGTAATGGGAGGTTTGTGTCTGGGAGATTTTCTGTCCTCATAAGGAGTAAGATCAGGGCTGTGAACCTTCTTCTCTGATCAACCTTCTGAGTATCCCTGGGTTGTGGATATGTTGTGTGGCTGTTCTCAGTAACCTTGAAGTATTATTTATTTCATCTATCGTGTCTTCTGCTCTCCAGTATTTGATCACTGAGTCTAGGGGGCTAGAGGGGCTCCTGTGTTTTTATTCTACTGTTGATTTCTGATTTCATTGCATAAAAGTCTGATGGAACGCCAGGTATTCTCCCTAATTTTTTCCTATGAACTGATCCTTGCTTTGTGGCATCAGATGTGGTGTGTTTTAGAAAATGATCTCTGTGCTGCCGAGAAGAAAGTGTCTTTATAGTGCTTGCTAATTCCTGGCATCCTGTGTTTTTCCTTCCCAGAATGCCCCTGAAGAAAAAGAAGAAGTATGTGAAAACTTCCGGCCATCCAGGAATCATGGTAATGTCTTTGAAGACTGCCAAGTGTGCTATTCATTAACTTACAATTACACAGAGTTTCATGTATGTTTTACTTTCGACTTATTCCCATAACAGGTAAAATCGACCTCGGGAAACAAGAACACCGAGAATTGCTGGACAGCAATCATACCAAGAGTGAAAGAGAACATGAGGTTTCCACCTCCCATTTAATACATACCACGAAGAAGGGCTTGCGTGATGCTAACCCTTCATCACCTGACCCCAAGGTAAGGCATGTTTTAATACTTGTTTCCCATCCCCTGGCCACATCTTTGATTTCTTCTTCTATTTTTTGTTTGTTGTTTTAGCATATCATCTCTTCTATCCTCATAATGGTGACAATGATCCTACACAGAGGGCCCCTAACTCAGGGTCACAAAAGAAAATAAGTGTCTCACCAGGAGAGGCATAAGGATAGGATTGTACTTTGTGGGAGTCAAGAACTGTCAGGCCTGAGAATGTGGAATAAAGAACTAGAAAGCAAAGCCAATGCATAGCTACTGGAACCTGGAAGAGGGAATTTCATGCCCCCAAATAAACCATTGTTTGAGTGCTGACTAGAGTTTTTCAGTAAAGAGTGGGCATTAGTACATTGGGCCCTTTTGAGTTTTAGGAGTAAGCTCCATTCTGATTCCCATAGTGCATGGTAGTAATAAGCATCCTCACCAACAATGTTGAAGCATTTCTTTTTCCACATGATCATCAGTGTGTATCTTTTTTGTTCTCAACATTACCTTCCCGAATGGGGTCAGATGGACTCGCTGTTGAAATTGGATTTGCATGTCCCTGATGTGTGAAGACTGGGATTGTTACTATCTTGATGAGCTGAGCGATTATCCATGTTCCTTTGTGCACTTCGAGATCATGTGCCATTGGTTAAATGGGCTGTTTGTCTTCCCAGAGCTCAGTACCTTTAGCTGTTTATATATTTAGTATGACAATCCACTTTCCAAGAGAAACTGGCAAAAGCTCATCTCCTAGGCTATATGCTTTCTCCTCACCCTGTGAATGGTGTTCTTTGCTGTTCTGCAGATTGAATTTGGATGCGCTCTTGTTTACCACTTCTTGCGAGCACGTTCTCACATGCAATATTCCTCTTCCTAAAGTCTTATTCGATGCCTATATTCGGAGTTGTTTCCCCTGTATTCCTTCCAATGGCTGCCCTGTTTCACATTTGTATATCTAGGTTTGTTACCCCTCTTGTGTTGTGTTGTGTTGTGCATGGGGAGAAACAGAGACCTAGTTTCACTCTTCTTGGTATGGATATCCAGTTTGCCCAATTCCATCCGTTTTGCTTTTGCATTGGATTAAACATGATAGTTGGGTTCATATGGACATATTCATACACGTGTTTTTTTTACACCATTCAGACCCTGGTTCCTCTCTCTTATTTCCCTCCACCCTCAACTTGCTCTAATCTACTGGTCTAACTCATTCGTTGATGTAGTGATTATTTATAGATATACATTGAATTGCAATTCACCATGATATAATTTCATGCTTGTAGAGTATTTTCCTCAACATTCCCTCCACTACCCTAACTCTTGTGTCCTCCCAATGATATTTTTCTGCTCTACTAAACTTTGGTTTCACTTCAGGATATCCATGCCTATCTTGTTCCTAGTAGGTTGCTTTATCTTCTGCTTGATTGGAATCCTTTCAATGCTCCATATTCTCATGTGACTTCTTGAATTGAGCATGGTATTCTCCACTTCCTTCCGCTCATCGAAAATGGTATAAGTTCATTCTTCAAGATATACTAAAACTTGTTCGTGTATATACGCCTCACTGTATAATCCATTCAACATGTCACTGATGGTAAGAGTTATGCGGCTACAGACATTGATACACTTGTGTCCCTGCTTGTCAGATGAACCCAAAAGAGGCGTGGATATCAAGGTCCTGGGGTGTTTCCATTGCTTGTTTTTGGAGGAATCTCCATAGTGCTTCCCACAGTGATTGCCCTAATGTGTGGTTGCCCATATGTGTGGTTGCCCTAATGTCTGTTGTTTTGCATCTCTGGAGCCCAAATTGCATCCCCAGATGAATCGCATGGGATCCTAGTGGTGTCCTATCTTTTTCCTGTGCTTTGGTAAGTGAATTACCCATGTTTTACGAAGATCTTCTGCATTTATTTTCATGAGGATTATTGGCCTCAAGTTTTGTTTCCTGATGGGTCTTTGTCTGGTTTTGGAATCGGGGTGATGCGGCATTCATAGAATGAGTCTGGCCGGGTTCCCTCCATTTCTCCATAATGGAATGGTTTCAGGGGGTTTCCCATTAACTCGTTTGAAAAGGACTGGTTGAACTGGGCTCAGCTTCCATCAGGTCCTGGGCTTTCCTTTGTTGGTAGGTTTCAGGGCATCTTCAATTTCATTGCTGGATTTGGATCTGTTGAAATTTCTGATGTGCATTTGGGTAGGCAATGCAGGTATAAGTTTCCCAAATAGTTTCTGATTATCCTCTCTATTTCATTGTGCTCCACGGTGATCGATCCTTTTCATCCCAAATTTCAGGAAATTGAGTCTTGTCCCTCTTTCTCTGGATAGTGTGCATAAACTTTGATCAAATTTACGGTAGGTTTCAAAGAACCAAGTTTGTCTATTGTTGAATTTGTTGGAACCTTGTTGCTTTCATTTCTTAAAGTTTGGTTCTGATTTCAATTATTTGCCTTCAAGGGCTGCTTTTAGTGTTGATCTCTTCTTTTTCCATGGCCTTGAAATGTAATGGGAGGTTTGTGTCTGGGAGATTTTCTGTCCTCATAAGGAGTAAGATCAGGGCTGTGAACCTTCTTCTCTGATCAACCTTCTGAGTATCCCTGGGTTGTGGATATGTTGTGTGGCTGTTCTCAGTAACCTTGAAGTATTATTTATTTCATCTATCGTGTCTTCTGCTCTCCAGTATTTGATCACTGAGTCTAGGGGGCTAGAGGGGCTCCTGTGTTTTTATTCTACTGTTGATTTCTGATTTCATTGCATAAAAGTCTGATGGAACGCCAGGTATTCTCCCTAATTTTTTCCTATGAACTGATCCTTGCTTTGTGGCATCAGATGTGGTGTGTTTTAGAAAATGATCTCTGTGCTGCCGAGAAGAAAGTGTCTTTATAGTGCTTGCTAATTCCTGGCATCCTGTGTTTTTCCTTCCCAGAATGCCCCTGAAGAAAAAGAAGAAGTATGTGAAAACTTCCGGCCATCCAGGAATCATGGTAATGTCTTTGAAGACTGCCAAGTGTGCTATTCATTAACTTACAATTACACAGAGTTTCATGTATGTTTTACTTTCGACTTATTCCCATAACAGGTAAAATCGACCTCGGGAAACAAGAACACCGAGAATTGCTGGACAGCAATCATACCAAGAGTGAAAGAGAACATGAGGTTTCCACCTCCCATTTAATACATACCACGAAGAAGGGCTTGCGTGATGCTAACCCTTCATCACCTGACCCCAAGGTAAGGCATGTTTTAATACTTGTTTCCCATCCCCGGCCACATCTTTGATTTCTTCTTCTATTTTTTGTTTGTTGTTTTAGCATATCATCTCTTCTATCCTCATAATGGTGACAATGATCCTACACAGAGGGCCCCTAACTCAGGGTCACAAAAGAAAATAAGTGTCTCACCAGGAGAGGCATAAGGATAGGATTGTACTTTGTGGGAGTCAAGAACTGTCAGGCCTGAGAATGTGGAATAAAGAACTAGAAAGCAAAGCCAATGCATAGCTACTGGAACCTGGAAGAGGGAATTTCATGCCCCCAAATAAACCATTGTTTGAGTGCTGACTAGAGTTTTTCAGTAAAGAGTGGGCATTAGTACATTGGGCCCTTTTGAGTTTTAGGAGTAAGCTCCATTCTGATTCCCATAGTGCATGGTAGTAATAAGCATCCTCACCAACAATGTTGAAGCATTTCTTTTTCCACATGATCATCAGTGTGTATCTTTTTTGTTCTCAACATTACCTTCCCGAATGGGGTCAGATGGACTCGCTGTTGAAATTGGATTTGCATGTCCCTGATGTGTGAAGACTGGGATTGTTACTATCTTGATGAGCTGAGCGATTATCCATGTTCCTTTGTGCACTTCGAGATCATGTGCCATTGGTTAAATGGGCTGTTTGTCTTCCCAGAGCTCAGTACCTTTAGCTGTTTATATATTTAGTATGACAATCCACTTTCCAAGAGAAACTGGCAAAAGCTCATCTCCTAGGCTATATGCTTTCTCCTCACCCTGTGAATGGTGTTCTTTGCTGTTCTGCAGATTGAATTTGGATGCGCTCTTGTTTACCACTTCTTGCGAGCACGTTCTCACATGCAATATTCCTCTTCCTAAAGTCTTATTCGATGCCTATATTCGGAGTTGTTTCCCCTGTATTCCTTCCAATGGCTGCCCTGTTTCACATTTGTATATCTAGGTTTGTTACCCCTCTTGTGTTGTGTTGTGTTGTGCATGGGGAGAAACAGAGACCTAGTTTCACTCTTCTTGGTATGGATATCCAGTTTGCCCAATTCCATCCGTTTTGCTTTTGCATTGGATTAAACATGATAGTTGGGTTCATATGGACATATTCATACACGTGTTTTTTTTACACCATTCAGACCCTGGTTCCTCTCTCTTATTTCCCTCCACCCTCAACTTGCTCTAATCTACTGGTCTAACTACCATTCATTCGTTGATGTAGTGATTATTTATAGATATACATTGAATTGCAATTCACCATGATATAATTTCATGCTTGTAGAGTATTTTCCTCAACATTCCCTCCACTACCCTAACTCTTGTGTCCTCCCAATGATATTTTTCTGCTCTACTAAACTTTGGTTTCACTTCAGGATATCCATGCCTATCTTGTTCCTAGTAGGTTGCTTTATCTTCTGCTTGATTGGAATCCTTTCAATGCTCCATATTCTCATGTGACTTCTTGAATTGAGCATGGTATTCTCCACTTCCTTCCGCTCATCGAAAATGGTATAAGTTCATTCTTCAAGATATACTAAAACTTGTTCGTGTATATACGCCTCACTGTATAATCCATTCAACATGTCACTGATGGTAAGAGTTATGCGGCTACAGACATTGATACACTTGTGTCCCTGCTTGTCAGATGAACCCAAAAGAGGCGTGGATATCAAGGTCCTGGGGTGTTTCCATTGCTTGTTTTTGGAGGAATCTCCATAGTGCTTCCCACAGTGATTGCCCTAATGTGTGGTTGCCCATATGTGTGGTTGCCCTAATGTCTGTTGTTTTGCATCTCTGGAGCCCAAATTGCATCCCCAGATGAATCGCATGGGATCCTAGTGGTGTCCTATCTTTTTCCTGTGCTTTGGTAAGTGAATTACCCATGTTTTACGAAGATCTTCTGCATTTATTTTCATGAGGATTATTGGCCTCAAGTTTTGTTTCCTGATGGGTCTTTGTCTGGTTTTGGAATCGGGGTGATGCGGCATTCATAGAATGAGTCTGGCCGGGTTCCCTCCATTTCTCCATAATGGAATGGTTTCAGGGGGTTTCCCATTAACTCGTTTGAAAAGGACTGGTTGAACTGGGCTCAGCTTCCATCAGGTCCTGGGCTTTCCTTTGTTGGTAGGTTTCAGGGCATCTTCAATTTCATTGCTGGATTTGGATCTGTTGAAATTTCTGATGTGCATTTGGGTAGGCAATGCAGGTATAAGTTTCCCAAATAGTTTCTGATTATCCTCTCTATTTCATTGTGCTCCACGGTGATCGATCCTTTTCATCCCAAATTTCAGGAAATTGAGTCTTGTCCCTCTTTCTCTGGATAGTGTGCATAAACTTTGATCAAATTTACGGTAGGTTTCAAAGAACCAAGTTTGTCTATTGTTGAATTTGTTGGAACCTTGTTGCTTTCATTTCTTAAAGTTTGGTTCTGATTTCAATTATTTGCCTTCAAGGGCTGCTTTTAGTGTTGATCTCTTCTTTTTCCATGGCCTTGAAATGTAATGGGAGGTTTGTGTCTGGGAGATTTTCTGTCCTCATAAGGAGTAAGATCAGGGCTGTGAACCTTCTTCTCTGATCAACCTTCTGAGTATCCCTGGGTTGTGGATATGTTGTGTGGCTGTTCTCAGTAACCTTGAAGTATTATTTATTTCATCTATCGTGTCTTCTGCTCTCCAGTATTTGATCACTGAGTCTAGGGGGCTAGAGGGGCTCCTGTGTTTTTATTCTACTGTTGATTTCTGATTTCATTGCATAAAAGTCTGATGGAACGCCAGGTATTCTCCCTAATTTTTTCCTATGAACTGATCCTTGCTTTGTGGCATCAGATGTGGTGTGTTTTAGAAAATGATCTCTGTGCTGCCGAGAAGAAAGTGTCTTTATAGTGCTTGCTAATTCCTGGCATCCTGTGTTTTTCCTTCCCAGAATGCCCCTGAAGAAAAAGAAGAAGTATGTGAAAACTTCCGGCCATCCAGGAATCATGGTAATGTCTTTGAAGACTGCCAAGTGTGCTATTCATTAACTTACAATTACACAGAGTTTCATGTATGTTTTACTTTCGACTTATTCCCATAACAGGTAAAATCGACCTCGGGAAACAAGAACACCGAGAATTGCTGGACAGCAATCATACCAAGAGTGAAAGAGAACATGAGGTTTCCACCTCCCATTTAATACATACCACGAAGAAGGGCTTGCGTGATGCTAACCCTTCATCACCTGACCCCAAGGTAAGGCATGTTTTAATACTTGTTTCCCATCCCCGGCCACATCTTTGATTTCTTCTTCTATTTTTTGTTTGTTGTTTTAGCATATCATCTCTTCTATCCTCATAATGGTGACAATGATCCTACACAGAGGGCCCCTAACTCAGGGTCACAAAAGAAAATAAGTGTCTCACCAGGAGAGGCATAAGGATAGGATTGTACTTTGTGGGAGTCAAGAACTGTCAGGCCTGAGAATGTGGAATAAAGAACTAGAAAGCAAAGCCAATGCATAGCTACTGGAACCTGGAAGAGGGAATTTCATGCCCCCAAATAAACCATTGTTTGAGTGCTGACTAGAGTTTTTCAGTAAAGAGTGGGCATTAGTACTTTGGGCCCTTTTGAGTTTTAGGAGTAAGCTCCATTCTGATTCCCATAGTGCATGGTAGTAATAAGCATCCTCACCAACAATGTTGAAGCATTTCTTTTTCCACATGATCATCAGTGTGTATCTTTTTTGTTCTCAACATTACCTTCCCGAATGGGGTCAGATGGACTCGCTGTTGAAATTGGATTTGCATGTCCCTGATGTGTGAAGACTGGGATTGTTACTATCTTGATGAGCTGAGCGATTATCCATGTTCCTTTGTGCACTTCGAGATCATGTGCCATTGGTTAAATGGGCTGTTTGTCTTCCCAGAGCTCAGTACCTTTAGCTGTTTATATATTTAGTATGACAATCCACTTTCCAAGAGAAACTGGCAAAAGCTCATCTCCTAGGCTATATGCTTTCTCCTCACCCTGTGAATGGTGTTCTTTGCTGTTCTGCAGATTGAATTTGGATGCGCTCTTGTTTACCACTTCTTGCGAGCACGTTCTCACATGCAATATTCCTCTTCCTAAAGTCTTATTCGATGCCTATATTCGGAGTTGTTTCCCCTGTATTCCTTCCAATGGCTGCCCTGTTTCACATTTGTATATCTAGGTTTGTTACCCCTCTTGTGTTGTGTTGTGTTGTGCATGGGGAGAAACAGAGACCTAGTTTCACTCTTCTTGGTATGGATATCCAGTTTGCCCAATTCCATCCGTTTTGCTTTTGCATTGGATTAAACATGATAGTTGGGTTCATATGGACATATTCATACACGTGTTTTTTTTACACCATTCAGACCCTGGTTCCTCTCTCTTATTTCCCTCCACCCTCAACTTGCTCTAATCTACTGGTCTAACTACCATTCATTCGTTGATGTAGTGATTATTTATAGATATACATTGAATTGCAATTCACCATGATATAATTTCATGCTTGTAGAGTATTTTCCTCAACATTCCCTCCACTACCCTAACTCTTGTGTCCTCCCAATGATATTTTTCTGCTCTACTAAACTTTGGTTTCACTTCAGGATATCCATGCCTATCTTGTTCCTAGTAGGTTGCTTTATCTTCTGCTTGATTGGAATCCTTTCAATGCTCCATATTCTCATGTGACTTCTTGAATTGAGCATGGTATTCTCCACTTCCTTCCGCTCATCGAAAATGGTATAAGTTCATTCTTCAAGATATACTAAAACTTGTTCGTGTATATACGCCTCACTGTATAATCCATTCAACATGTCACTGATGGTAAGAGTTATGCGGCTACAGACATTGATACACTTGTGTCCCTGCTTGTCAGATGAACCCAAAAGAGGCGTGGATATCAAGATCCTGGGGTGTTTCCATTGCTTGTTTTTGGAGGAATCTCCATAGTGCTTCCCACAGTGATTGCCCTAATGTGTGGTTGCCCATATGTGTGGTTGCCCTAATGTCTGTTGTTTTGCATCTCTGGAGCCCAAATTGCATCCCGAGATGGATCGCATGGGATCCTAGTGGTGTCCTATCTTTTTCCTGTGCTTTGGTAAGTGAATTACCCATGTTTTACGAAGATCTTCTGCATTTATTTTCATGAGGATTATTGGCCTCAAGTTTTGTTTCCTGATGGGTCTTTGTCTGGTTTTGGAATCGGGGTGATGCGGCATTCATAGAATGAGTCTGGCCGGGTTCCCTCCATTTCTCCATAATGGAATGGTTTCAGGGGGTTTCCCATTAACTCGTTTGAAAAGGACTGGTTGAACTGGGCTCAGCTTCCATCAGGTCCTGGGCTTTCCTTTGTTGGTAGGTTTCAGGGCATCTTCAATTTCATTGCTGGATTTGGATCTGTTGAAATTTCTGATGTGCATTTGGGTAGGCAATGCAGGTATAAGTTTCCCAAATAGTTTCTGATTATCCTCTCTATTTCATTGTGCTCCACGGTGATCGATCCTTTTCATCCCAAATTTCAGGAAATTGAGTCTTGTCCCTCTTTCTCTGGATAGTGTGCATAAACTTTGATCAAATTTACGGTAGGTTTCAAAGAACCAAGTTTGTCTATTGTTGAATTTGTTGGAACCTTGTTGCTTTCATTTCTTAAAGTTTGGTTCTGATTTCAATTATTTGCCTTCAAGGGCTGCTTTTAGTGTTGATCTCTTCTTTTTCCATGGCCTTGAAATGTAATGGGAGGTTTGTGTCTGGGAGATTTTCTGTCCTCATAAGGAGTAAGATCAGGGCTGTGAACCTTCTTCTCTGATCAACCTTCTGAGTATCCCTGGGTTGTGGATATGTTGTGTGGCTGTTCTCAGTAACCTTGAAGTATTATTTATTTCATCTATCGTGTCTTCTGCTCTCCAGTATTTGATCACTGAGTCTAGGGGGCTAGAGGGGCTCCTGTGTTTTTATTCTACTGTTGATTTCTGATTTCATTGCATAAAAGTCTGATGGAACGCCAGGTATTCTCCCTAATTTTTTCCTATGAACTGATCCTTGCTTTGTGGCATCAGATGTGGTGTGTTTTAGAAAATGATCTCTGTGCTGCCGAGAAGAAAGTGTCTTTATAGTGCTTGCTAATTCCTGGCATCCTGTGTTTTTCCTTCCCAGAATGCCCCTGAAGAAAAAGAAGAAGTATGTGAAAACTTCCGGCCATCCAGGAATCATGGTAATGTCTTTGAAGACTGCCAAGTGTGCTATTCATTAACTTACAATTACACAGAGTTTCATGTATGTTTTACTTTCGACTTATTCCCATAACAGGTAAAATCGACCTCGGGAAACAAGAACACCGAGAATTGCTGGACAGCAATCATACCAAGAGTGAAAGAGAACATGAGGTTTCCACCTCCCATTTAATACATACCACGAAGAAGGGCTTGCGTGATGCTAACCCTTCATCACCTGACCCCAAGGTAAGGCATGTTTTAATACTTGTTTCCCATCCCCTGGCCACATCTTTGATTTCTTCTTCTATTTTTTGTTTGTTGTTTTAGCATATCATCTCTTCTATCCTCATAATGGTGACAATGATCCTACACAGAGGGCCCCTAACTCAGGGTCACAAAAGAAAATAAGTGTCTCACCAGGAGAGGCATAAGGATAGGATTGTACTTTGTGGGAGTCAAGAACTGTCAGGCCTGAGAATGTGGAATAAAGAACTAGAAAGCAAAGCCAATGCATAGCTACTGGAACCTGGAAGAGGGAATTTCATGCCCCCAAATAAACCATTGTTTGAGTGCTGACTAGAGTTTTTCAGTAAAGAGTGGGCATTAGTACATTGGGCCCTTTTGAGTTTTAGGAGTAAGCTCCATTCTGATTCCCATAGTGCATGGTAGTAATAAGCATCCTCACCAACAATGTTGAAGCATTTCTTTTTCCACATGATCATCAGTGTGTATCTTTTTTGTTCTCAACATTACCTTCCCGAATGGGGTCAGATGGACTCGCTGTTGAAATTGGATTTGCATGTCCCTGATGTGTGAAGACTGGGATTGTTACTATCTTGATGAGCTGAGCGATTATCCATGTTCCTTTGTGCACTTCGAGATCATGTGCCATTGGTTAAATGGGCTGTTTGTCTTCCCAGAGCTCAGTACCTTTAGCTGTTTATATATTTAGTATGACAATCCACTTTCCAAGAGAAACTGGCAAAAGCTCATCTCCTAGGCTATATGCTTTCTCCTCACCCTGTGAATGGTGTTCTTTGCTGTTCTGCAGATTGAATTTGGATGCGCTCTTGTTTACCACTTCTTGCGAGCACGTTCTCACATGCAATATTCCTCTTCCTAAAGTCTTATTCGATGCCTATATTCGGAGTTGTTTCCCCTGTATTCCTTCCAATGGCTGCCCTGTTTCACATTTGTATATCTAGGTTTGTTACCCCTCTTGTGTTGTGTTGTGTTGTGCATGGGGAGAAACAGAGACCTAGTTTCACTCTTCTTGGTATGGATATCCAGTTTGCCCAATTCCATCCGTTTTGCTTTTGCATTGGATTAAACATGATAGTTGGGTTCATATGGACATATTCATACACGTGTTTTTTTTACACCATTCAGACCCTGGTTCCTCTCTCTTATTTCCCTCCACCCTCAACTTGCTCTAATCTACTGGTCTAACTACCATTCATTCGTTGATGTAGTGATTATTTATAGATATACATTGAATTGCAATTCACCATGATATAATTTCATGCTTGTAGAGTATTTTCCTCAACATTCCCTCCACTACCCTAACTCTTGTGTCCTCCCAATGATATTTTTCTGCTCTACTAAACTTTGGTTTCACTTCAGGATAACCATGCCTACCTTGTTCCTAGTAGGTTGCTTTCCTTTCTGCTTTGATGGGAATCTTTTCAATGCTCCATATTCTCATGTGTCATATTGAATTGAGCATGGTATTCTCCACTTCCTTCCGCTCATCGAAAATGGTATAAGTTCATTCTTCAAGATATACTAAAACTTGTTCGTGTATATACGCCTCACTGTATAATCCATTCAACATGTCACTGATGGTAAGAGTTATGCGGCTACAGACATTGATACACTTGTGTCCCTGCTTGTCAGATGAACCCAAAAGAGGCGTGGATATCAAGATCCTGGGGTGTTTCCATTGCTTGTTTTTGGAGGAATCTCCATAGTGCTTCCCACAGTGATTGCCCTAATGTGTGGTTGCCCATATGTGTGGTTGCCCTAATGTCTGTTGTTTTGCATCTCTGGAGCCCAAATTGCATCCCGAGATGGATCGCATGGGATCCTAGTGGTGTCCTATCTTTTTCCTGTGCTTTGGTAAGTGAATTACCCATGTTTTACGAAGATCTTCTGCATTTATTTTCATGAGGATTATTGGCCTCAAGTTTTGTTTCCTGATGGGTCTTTGTCTGGTTTTGGAATCGGGGTGATGCGGCATTCATAGAATGAGTCTGGCCGGGTTCCCTCCATTTCTCCATAATGGAATGGTTTCAGGGGGTTTCCCATTAACTCGTTTGAAAAGGACTGGTTGAACTGGGCTCAGCTTCCATCAGGTCCTGGGCTTTCCTTTGTTGGTAGGTTTCAGGGCATCTTCAATTTCATTGCTGGATTTGGATCTGTTGAAATTTCTGATGTGCATTTGGGTAGGCAATGCAGGTATAAGTTTCCCAAATAGTTTCTGATTATCCTCTCTATTTCATTGTGCTCCACGGTGATCGATCCTTTTCATCCCAAATTTCAGGAAATTGAGTCTTGTCCCTCTTTCTCTGGATAGTGTGCATAAACTTTGATCAAATTTACGGTAGGTTTCAAAGAACCAAGTTTGTCTATTGTTGAATTTGTTGGAACCTTGTTGCTTTCATTTCTTAAAGTTTGGTTCTGATTTCAATTATTTGCCTTCAAGGGCTGCTTTTAGTGTTGATCTCTTCTTTTTCCATGGCCTTGAAATGTAATGGGAGGTTTGTGTCTGGGAGATTTTCTGTCCTCATAAGGAGTAAGATCAGGGCTGTGAACCTTCTTCTCTGATCAACCTTCTGAGTATCCCTGGGTTGTGGATATGTTGTGTGGCTGTTCTCAGTAACCTTGAAGTATTATTTATTTCATCTATCGTGTCTTCTGCTCTCCAGTATTTGATCACTGAGTCTAGGGGGCTAGAGGGGCTCCTGTGTTTTTATTCTACTGTTGATTTCTGATTTCATTGCATAAAAGTCTGATGGAACGCCAGGTATTCTCCCTAATTTTTTCCTATGAACTGATCCTTGCTTTGTGGCATCAGATGTGGTGTGTTTTAGAAAATGATCTCTGTGCTGCCGAGAAGAAAGTGTCTTTATAGTGCTTGCTAATTCCTGGCATCCTGTGTTTTTCCTTCCCAGAATGCCCCTGAAGAAAAAGAAGAAGTATGTGAAAACTTCCGGCCATCCAGGAATCATGGTAATGTCTTTGAAGACTGCCAAGTGTGCTATTCATTAACTTACAATTACACAGAGTTTCATGTATGTTTTACTTTCGACTTATTCCCATAACAGGTAAAATCGACCTCGGGAAACAAGAACACCGAGAATTGCTGGACAGCAATCATACCAAGAGTGAAAGAGAACATGAGGTTTCCACCTCCCATTTAATACATACCACGAAGAAGGGCTTGCGTGATGCTAACCCTTCATCACCTGACCCCAAGGTAAGGCATGTTTTAATACTTGTTTCCCATCCCCTGGCCACATCTTTGATTTCTTCTTCTATTTTTTGTTTGTTGTTTTAGCATATCATCTCTTCTATCCTCATAATGGTGACAATGATCCTACACAGAGGGCCCCTAACTCAGGGTCACAAAAGAAAATAAGTGTCTCACCAGGAGAGGCATAAGGATAGGATTGTACTTTGTGGGAGTCAAGAACTGTCAGGCCTGAGAATGTGGAATAAAGAACTAGAAAGCAAAGCCAATGCATAGCTACTGGAACCTGGAAGAGGGAATTTCATGCCCCCAAATAAACCATTGTTTGAGTGCTGACTAGAGTTTTTCAGTAAAGAGTGGGCATTAGTACATTGGGCCCTTTTGAGTTTTAGGAGTAAGCTCCATTCTGATTCCCATAGTGCATGGTAGTAATAAGCATCCTCACCAACAATGTTGAAGCATTTCTTTTTCCACATGATCATCAGTGTGTATCTTTTTTGTTCTCAACATTACCTTCCCGAATGGGGTCAGATGGACTCGCTGTTGAAATTGGATTTGCATGTCCCTGATGTGTGAAGACTGGGATTGTTACTATCTTGATGAGCTGAGCGATTATCCATGTTCCTTTGTGCACTTCGAGATCATGTGCCATTGGTTAAATGGGCTGTTTGTCTTCCCAGAGCTCAGTACCTTTAGCTGTTTATATATTTAGTATGACAATCCACTTTCCAAGAGAAACTGGCAAAAGCTCATCTCCTAGGCTATATGCTTTCTCCTCACCCTGTGAATGGTGTTCTTTGCTGTTCTGCAGATTGAATTTGGATGCGCTCTTGTTTACCACTTCTTGCGAGCACGTTCTCACATGCAATATTCCTCTTCCTAAAGTCTTATTCGATGCCTATATTCGGAGTTGTTTCCCCTGTATTCCTTCCAATGGCTGCCCTGTTTCACATTTGTATATCTAGGTTTGTTACCCCTCTTGTGTTGTGTTGTGTTGTGCATGGGGAGAAACAGAGACCTAGTTTCACTCTTCTTGGTATGGATATCCAGTTTGCCCAATTCCATCCGTTTTGCTTTTGCATTGGATTAAACATGATAGTTGGGTTCATATGGACATATTCATACACGTGTTTTTTTTACACCATTCAGACCCTGGTTCCTCTCTCTTATTTCCCTCCACCCTCAACTTGCTCTAATCTACTGGTCTAACTCATTCGTTGATGTAGTGATTATTTATAGATATACATTGAATTGCAATTCACCATGATATAATTTCATGCTTGTAGAGTATTTTCCTCAACATTCCCTCCACTACCCTAACTCTTGTGTCCTCCCAATGATATTTTTCTGCTCTACTAAACTTTGGTTTCACTTCAGGATATCCATGCCTATCTTGTTCCTAGTAGGTTGCTTTATCTTCTGCCTTGATTGGAATCCTTTCAATGCTCCATATTCTCATGTGACTTCTTGAATTGAGCATGGTATTCTCCACTTCCTTCTGCTCATCGAAAATGGTATAAGTTCATTCTTCAAGATATACTAAAACTTGTTCGTGTATATACGCCTCACTGTATAATCCATTCAACATGTCACTGATGGTAAGAGTTATGCGGCTACAGACATTGATACACTTGTGTCCCTGCTTGTCAGATGAACCCAAAAGAGGCATGGATATCAAGATCCTGGGGTGTTTCCATTGCTTGTTTTTGGAGGAATCTCCATAGTGCTTCCCACAGTGATTGCCCTCATGTGTGGTCACCCTAATAATGTGTGAGTATACTATTTCTTTGACATTCTCACCAACTTTTATTATCGTGTTTATTCTTTTTGTTGTTTTTGTTGTTTTTTCTGGGGATTGCTTTTGAGGTCCTTCAACCTCTGAACCACAACTCCAACCCTTAATCTGTACACATGACTTTTTACATCTCTTTTCTTCCTTTGTCTCATTTCTTTTACTAACAGTTCAGGTGCTGTTTTTTTTTAGGAGTGGTGAGTTTGCACATCTCATTCTTTTCTGATTTTAGAGGAAATCCTATAGTGTTTTCACCATTATGTGTTCCATTTGTTTTATTCGGCTTACATAGCCTACGTAATCCTTATTTAGTTCGTGCTGTCCATAGCTTCAGAGTTTTCTCCTGTTCAAGTCTGTGGAAAGCTTTTTGTACATCTTTTTAAATTATCCATAAATTTGTCTCCTTGGTGCTTTGTGTGGTATACTACATTTATTGATTTGCCCTTTGTTGACATATCATTGCATTTTTCAAATTCAACCAGATTCATGATGGTGTATGATCATTGACATGTATTGTTGAAATTGTTTTCTAGTGTTTTATGAGGGTTTCTGCAACTCTGGTCCTCAAGAATGTTATGAATAACTTTCATTCCTTGTTTTGTTCTCATGCACTTGTCTTGTAAGTGTGATATTGCCCTCCTATAATGTGTTTGCCACGTTCCTTCTTTCAGTATGCCTTGTAATTCTTTTGAGGAACACTGGTATTAGGTCTCCTGTGATGGTCTTGTGGAATTCTGTCATGACTCTGTCTGGTCCTGGGCTTTTCATTACTCCTTCAATATAATGGCCTACTGTTGGTCCGTTTTGATTTCCAGTATTGAAACAACAATCAAGGCTTGCCGTTGGAGATAATGTCCGTTTATTGAGAAACAGCTCTGCATATTTATAGAGCTGAGGTCAGTTTCACAGTTATGACAGTTTAATGGTTCAATGGTTTGACAGTTGGCTGGAGTGCTTTCTGATTGGTGGGTAAGGATCATGGGATCCAGCAGTGCTAGCTGATTGGTGATTAAGGATAATATGAGCCTGCAAGGTCACCATTGGATGGCAATATCATATGAACCAGCAGAGCTCACCATTGGAAGTCAGGATCATGTGAGCCAGCATAGCTGAAAAGAGGTGGAGGGATTTTCAAGGAGAGACAAGAATGGATAGAACCCTAGAAGGAGGAGTCAATTTGGTAGGCCTTGCAATGGATTATTCCCAGTTGCAAAGGCAGCCTGGAGGCCTGTAGTAGGTCAGAAATAAGTGTGGAATTACTGACTGCCTTCCCTCTGGTGTTCAATAGCCCCTTTTCTTCCAAATGGCTGCATGGGAGATAGGTATATAGGGATAGGGTTTTTCCCTCTGCTAGCTTTCATGCCCTTGTGGCAGCTATGAGTTCAGCTTGTTGGTTGGTGATATTGGGTGGGAGAAGTTTTGCCTCTATGATGGATGAGAGGGAAATGATAGCATATCCTGCTATGTTAACCCCTTCATATATAAAGGAGCTACCATCTGAGAACCAGACGAGGTCCGAAGAGGGCAGGGGTCCCTCAGAAATGGTGGTAGGCAGGGTAAAATCATCTCTAATACCTCCAGGCATTTGTGGATGGGATCTTGTGGGGGAGAAGATAGGAGGAGGGAGGCAGGGTTTAATGGAGAGCAGGGCTGAAAAGAGATGGAGGGATTTTCAAGGAGAGACAAGGAGGGAGACAAGTTGAATCTGATGCCCCAGTCAATTAATGATGTAGATGGGTTGTGCGGGTATAAAAAACTGCATGAATCAACAATACAGTCAGCCTGCAGAAAGGAACCCTGGAAGAAATGGTTCCCTGGTCAGCCACTAAGAATATGTAGGATAGAATTTGCAATGCCCCATGTCTCCAGGGCCACACATGGAATTCCAAAACTATCCTCAGCTCTACTGATTTTTTTCTCTTTTATCATTTTATTTTATTTTTTAAATTTTTATTTGGTGTTTTTATATATACATAACAATAGAGTGTATTTTGACATACTATACATACATGGAGTGCAACCCATTTCGTTAAGATCCAATATTTGTGGTTGTACATAATGTGGAATTACACTGGTCATGTATTCAATTTTAAAAAAGGAAAGTTAAGTCCAGTTAACTCTATTGACTTTCTCTACTAACTCCCCCTCCCTTCTTTTTATTCCTTTTTTCTAATTCAATGATCTTCTATTCTTCTCTTCTCTACCCTCCTTTGTTGTGGATTAGCATCCACGTATCAGAGAGAACTTTCGACCATTGTTTTTTTTTTTATTGGCTTATTTTGTTTAGCCTGATAGTCTCTAGTTCTGTCCATTTAGCAGAAAATATGAAAGTTTTATTCATCATTATATCTGAGTAATATTCAATTGTATGTATATCACATTTTTTGATCCATTCATCTGTTGAAGGGAACCTAGTTTGATTATTTAGCTTGGTGTTTGTGAATTGAGGGGCTAAACATTGATGTGGCTGTGTCACTATAGTATGCTGATTTTAACTCCCTTGGGTATAGTCCAGGGAGTACGCAAACTGGCATAACTGGTAGTTCTATTCCAATTTTTCTAAGATCCATACGGTCTTCCATAGAGCTTGCACCAATTCACAGTCCTACCAGCAATGTAGCAGTGAACTTTTTCCCCAGTCCTCATGAATATTTACTGTAACTTGCATTCTTGATAATTGCCATTATGAATGGAATGTGATGGATTCTCATTATAGTTTACTTTAAATTTCTCAAAATGCTGAATATTTTTTTCATATATTTTTTACATTGTATTTCTTCTTCCGTGAAGTGTCTCTTCAGTTCCTTTGCCCACTTATTAATTGGGTTATTGGGGTTTTTTTCCCCTATTTGGTGTTAAGTTCTTTGTATGTCCTGGAGTTAACTCTACTGACTTTTTAGCCCCAAATTGAAGCTGTATGAGAAGTCACAGAGTCTGTGATGGACAGTCTATATAAATGGTGTCTGTTTTCCTGAGATTGTTGGAATTCTTTCATTTTTATCTCTGGAGGGGGATCTTATAGTCTCCCACCTACCAGTGTGTGAAAGTAGCTTATGTCTTTTAGGAATTCTCTTAATATTCCAATAACCAATGTGTTCTCTGTCTCACCTGGTACCTGACTCTATACAGTTGCACTGCAAAGTTTTTGCCCAGTAACCTGTGTCATCATGGATTTCTAAGCCAGTCAATTGGGTTAAATCTCAGGTCAGCTTCTGTAGTGCCATAAACTTCTAGACTGACATTTTTTTCTTAGTATATATCTTTCAAGTTCTTTCTTGAAAGAAAAGAGTTGCAGAGTCTATCCAAACCTGCGTGCTATTTTTTAATGTATGTCAATAAATGTTTTCTTACTATTTTGTCATCTTATTCAACTCCTTTTTCTATCAAATGAGTACCAAAACTATGTAGTTTTCTAGGTATTTGTTTACCCAAATTAAGCAGCTGCTACAATGTTCCATTTATATACAACATGACATTTTCAAAGTCTTTTATCATTCCAACTATATTTATTTTATCCCACTAAAACAATGCCTGCCATTTGAGTGTCCTAAATGTTAAACATTGTATTATAACAAGTTTGTAAATGAGAATTTGTCTAAAGTGTTTGTTCAAGAATATCTCTCTTCTTATTGGTGGGGAATGCATAAGTAGATTTCCATGTAGTAAAGTTATTTCTTTCCTAAAATACACACATTAGTTAGGACCTTGTCTCTGCATATGTCTCCCTCTCTCCTTCCATGCTGTGTTAATAGATACAATAGCCATGAGAAGACAAATTATTCTTGTTCTAGAGAGCATATATGAGGTTCTCTTTGGAAAGGTTTTAGTTTGTAATAAATTCTTTCTGCTTTTTAAGTACCTTTGATTTCAGTAATGGGAATTTAGATCTGTTCTTAATAAGCAAGAATGAAATCTTTCTGCAACTCATTATCAATGTTAATTTTACCAGAGTGTTTCTGAGCCTCTTCCACTGAGCTATGTTGGCAAGTTTACTGCGGCTGAAGATCAAAGAGCTGAACAGAAAATAAATAAACATAAAGAAGGTAAGAGTTATATGTCCTATAAAATTCACAGGTTGAATGTTTACTTAAAGCATGTACACTGGTATATTCTAACACATGAAGGAAGGCACCTAATAAGTAGTAAGGAAAAAGAAATTAAAGATATATGAGTGGCATATTGGATAAAGGCTCAGCAAGACATTTCATTAGGGGTATCACTAGAAGAGCTGAATTATTGATTCCATCTTCAAACACCTTCAGATAGGAAAGTTAAAAAATAAAGAAAAGGATGTGAGCATTGGGAACGAAGAATAAGAAAGGGAGAAATGACGGAGTGCATAAAAGAAAAGAAGGTGGTGCATACTTTGGTGGGAGTGAAATTCATGTAATACTTTAGGAAGATGATGGAGAGGCTATTCCAAGTGTGGGGAGAATTTGTGCGCTTCCAGTTCCAAAACTTGTCTGAGAAGTGGAAATTCCCCACACTGCCTGTATTCATCACTATTGGGAAGGCAGCAAGGATTAAAGTAGCTGATCATGCAGAGCTATTTTTTTTTTCTTAAATGAATATGAACCTTTGAACATAGCAAGCCATACATGTGTGTAATTTGATGTTATTTTAAAATGTTGGTACTCCTAGGAGAGAGCCATGTAGTCTAGCACATGAGAATTAGGAAAAGAAAAATTGTATGATTTTTCTGGAGACATCAGGAAAACCACAGCAGGAAAATGTCCATCAAATAGTCTGTGACTTCTCATACAGCTTCAATTTGGGGTCATGACAGGGAGGGTGGGTGCCAAATAGAGATCAACTATGGGAACTGGAAGCTGATACAGTTCATCAGAGCTTCTGTTGCCTCAAAGGATCATCCAGTCTGCACCATGTTAAAAAAGGCACATTCTGTCTGAGCAGAGGAGGTCTGGAATTCTACATTCCTAAAGGCTTCTACATTTATTTTAATTTTTGGTATCCTGACCACATTCTATTTAGCAAGGTATAGACTTCCTTTTAGAAAAATCTGGATGAAGATCTGTTGGATATAAGTTCAAGGAATAACAAGATCCAGGGATGGTTTATATTTTCCTGTTATATCCAAACATGCTTTCTAACAAATATGGAGGACCCAAAAGTTGAAGTGACAGAAAGTATAATTCTTTAATACAATTGCTAAATATGGAGGAAAGAGACAAAGTGGGACTAGTTTGAACAGAGAATGTAACATTGTAAGCATGACAACCACCAATCAAGAGGATACTTTGAAAATGCTGAAATGAAGGGAAATGAGGAAGGAAGGGAAGAAGGAAGGAAGGAAGGAAGGAAGGAAGGGAGGAATTAGCTTTGTAATTTAAGAAATGATGAGGAAACTTGTGAAAATGCACTTTGGAAAGCAAATGAAACATTGCATTGGAAGCAAAGATTAGATTATTCCTGCTCCAGAGATTATGGGAAGCAGGAGGGTATGTTGGCATGGGAAGACACCTAAGTTATGCATTCTTCCTCTTCCATAATATGCAGGGAGGGGATATATGTTGTATTGACATTAGTTATTCATAAGAGATGAGGTTTGTTACAGGAACATTGGCTGGACTTTGAAAGATAGTGACTATTTCCCCATGATTCATATTTTCCCTCTGATGTTGGTGCTGGCAATGGGTCCAATGGCCTTGGTCATACAAGCAACACACTCTGTCACTGAGCTACATGCTCAGCCCTAGATAGATAAGGTAGTCATTTCATTAAAATCCTTCAGACTAACAAGTTATACCATAGCAGAGTAATGTTAGGAACCAAACACATTCAGTCTTTGAATACCCAATTTGTTACTTTGAAAATCAACTACATGGATTTTGAAAAGTAAAGGATATTCATATCTAATCACTCATATATATCTGTTTATCTCTCCTTTCTTATTACCAAACTCAAATAATTTGAGTTTCTTCTACATCATTTTTTAGATGATCTTGGTACATCTTCTCACAGGAATAGATTGAGAACAGCAAACATAGCTCAGCTAGATGATGCAAGAATTTTAGGCACACTGGTGTCCAATGCAGGTATGGAAAAAGATAACTTTTTAAAATAAACTTTTATTCTAAAAATATGTATCCCAGTTTATCACTTCACAAAGCTTTCTTTGATGAGAATTGTGTATTCCACTGGCTTTTATCACAACTTTTCACATACTAAATCACAGGAGAACTTGAGGGATAGGCTCCATCATTGTAATAAACAGGTGCAAATAATTCTGGTGTGTCACTGTTAGGAGACACAATGTTACAGTCCTCCTGCAGCTATCCTCTTAGGGCCATGATTTTATCCTGTGGTCAGACTTTCTCTGCATCAATCAGCATATTGCCATTGGAAAATGAACACTGTCCTACTTGATTTCTGGTTATGGAAATCATAATCTAGTTTTGGCAATCTGACTGCATGTTTTGTCAAACCTACATTCTTGGTTGTGTTTTTCTGTGTCACATTTGGTTTTTTAATTAATTTAATTTTTTACACAAATGGAGCACAACTTTTCATTGCTCTGGTTGTACATGATGTAGAGTCACATCATACATGGAATCATACCTTTACATGGGGTAATACTGTCTGTTTCATTCCACCGTCTTCTCCCCAACACACACCTTCTCCCCTCTCCTTCCTGCCTCTGCTCAACCTAAAGTTCCTCCATTCTTCCCTTTCCTCCCCCTGCTCCCATTATGGAGGAGCATCCACTTATCAGAGAATACATTTTCCTTTTGGTTTTGTGGGGTAGGCTTACTTCACACAGTATGATATTCTCCAACTCCATTCATTTATCTGTAAATGCCATAATTTCATTCTTCTTTAAGGCTGATCTTTAAAATTCCATTGTGTATATAAACCAGTTTCTTTATCCATCATCTATTGAAGGGCATCTACGTGGGTTCCACAGTTTAGCTATTGTAAATTGAGCTGCTATATATATTGAGATGGCTGCATAACTATAGAATGCTGATTTGAAGTCTTTGGGGTATATGCCGAGGAATGGGATAGCTGGGTCAAATGGTGGTTCCATTCCAAGTTTTCTAAGGAATCTTCATATTGCTTTCCAAAGTGGTTCCACTATTTTCCAATCCCACCAGCAATGAATGGTATACATTTTTCCCAAATCCTTGCCAGCACTTATTGTTACTTAAATTCTTGATAATTGCCATTCTTACTAGAGAAGAAAACTTAGTTTTGATTTGCATTTCTTTAATTGCTAGAGATGTTGAACAGTTTTTCATACATTTGTTGAACAATTGTATATCTTCGTCTGTGAAGTCTCTGCTCATTTCCTTAGCCCATTTATTGATTGGGTTGCTTGCTTTTAGGTGTTAAGTGTTGGTGTTAAGTTTTTGTGTTCTTTGTATATCCTGATGATTACTTCTCTATTTGTTGTGAATGTACTAAAAATTTGTTCCTCAAATAGGTTCTTTCTTCACCTCATTGATATTTTCTTTTGCTGAGAAGCAGCATTTTAGTTTGAATATTTTCCATTTATTGATTCTTGATTTTATTTCTTGCACCTTAGGAATCAGATCCTAAGCTGACATGATGAAGATTTGAGCCTGCTTTTTCTTCTATTAGGTGCAGAGTCTGGTCTAATTCCTAGTTCCTTGATCCACTTTGAGCTGAGTTTTGTGCAGGGTGAAAGATAGAGGTTTAATTTCATTTTGCTGCATATGGATTTCTAGTTTTCCTAGCACCACTTTTCTACAATGCATGTTATTGGTGCCTTTGTCTAGTAAGAGATAACTCTATTTATGTAGATTTGTGACTGTGTCCTCTATTCTGTTCCATTGATCTACATATCTATTTCGGTGTCAATACCATGTTGTTTTCATTACTATAGCTCTGTAGTATAGTTTAAGTTCTGGTACAGTGATGCCACCTTCTTCACTCTTCTTCCTAAGGTTTGCTTTGGCTATTCTGTGTCTCTTGTTTTTCCAAATGAATTTCATGGTTGCTTTTTCTATTTCTATGAGGAATATCATTGGTTTAAATTGGAATTGCATTAAATCTATAAAGCGCTTTTGGTAGTTTGGTCATTTAATCCTGCTTATCCAAGACTTTCGATTTTTATTTCTTTTCTTTTTCCATGTTTGGTGGGAATATTTGAGAAAACTTGGCAAATGCCAATGTTTAGTATTCGTGTTTGGAAAAAAAAAGATATATACAATTACAAAAAAATGATCTTAATCTTGAATGTTCCTACACTTATCTTTACATCACTTGAATTCCCAGAAATTTTTAGGGATTCAGAATTTGATGTTTTTAGACTGTAATATGTTAGAAAAATTCTCACTGAATTGCTGGACATCGGTGCACATTACAATCTCTTATTCTTGGGGTAAAACAAAAGTTGTCCTTGATTCCATGAGTTAGAGACAAGTTTTTAAAACCGAGAGAACGACTCTCCTTAAAAACCAGTTTTAGTACTAACTTTACACCAAGTCTATGCAGATAATATCATTGAACATTAGTTCAACTTTATGTATCTGTTAAGTCAGTGCCCTTATTCCCTGACTTGATGGGGTTTGTACTATGAAATCACACCTATTTCATGTTTTTCTCTTTCCTGTACATTATCATCTTGTACTGTTTTTTATAGAAGAAAATCAATTATTTCCAGGGTATTTCCTAAAAGCTATAAAATTTTACAGGTACTTACTTGTACCATTGAATTTAGTGTTCTTACTTCCTTTTGTTCTTTTTAAAGGAAGGGGTTTGAAATCAGGGCCTTTTGCATGCTAAGAAGATTCCCTACAACTGAGCCTCACCCCTAGCCTTGTCTTATTCATTGTTGAGCTTGGTAGATCCAAGAATCAGAAAATTATTAACAAAACACCTAAATGAGTGTCCTGGACCTAGGAACATATAAAAGTGAAAACCAACCAAGTAAACACAAGCAACTTACACAGTCCCTGTAATTCACCTCACAAATCATTTGATACTTTTGTAGAGAATTGAGCAGAGTCTCATTTACCAGGGAATCATATTTATACCGGTATTCATTGAATAAAAACTTATTTTATAATATTGTTTATATTGAATATTTTTGTGGGAATTTCTTCATTTCAGGCAGGCATCTTCTTAATGTTGCGTATTCCCTTGTACTTGTTCATCTCCTTCCATTTATCCAGTTGTGCCTGACATTCACCATACACATAGCATTTAGAAAAATCTAGCTCCCATGAAATTATGTTCATGAACCACTAAAGGACATGAATGGGCAAGTATTTCAATGTCACCTCTAGTGCTTTCATAATATGACTTTTGCCCAACTCTCTATCATTAGTCCTTTCCTGTCTTCCCTTTCCTCTGGCCTTACTCCTCACTAATTCCTATATTTTGGGGCAAGCACACACCCCATTTAATACTCATCCTTCTCTCTTGCTACTTCCTGTCTTGCTTGTACCCTTTCCTGCACTCTGGCTGGGCTACCCTCACCTCTTAAGTCTCAGCTCAGGAATACCTCCAGAAAAACCATCCCTGGCACCTTTTATTCACACTAGCAGTACCAGGAGCTCAATCAACACTTAGAGGGTCCAATGAATAGGCAGTTTTCACCAGATGACCTAAAAGATTGTCCCTTCCAGTTGAGCAGCAAAAGAGATTGACTTGTAAAGAAATCATTGATGTCTCTAGTGGTGAAATAATAGTAGGGAAGTTGATGAATTGGTAAAGTAGGCCCAAGGAAAGAAGCCCTCATTAATGTCATCATAAGGAATGATAGCCATAATCAAGTAGGATTTCACAGAGCAAACTGAGTCTCAGGGACAGAAAAGGAATACCACCTCAGATATGAGGAACAGGGAGTTAACTGATAAAGATGTGAGAAGTTATCAGTAATTTTTGAAGCCATTAGTGATGAAAAGTAGATGATTCACATTCTCTATCAAGAGGTATAGAAGAGTGTATGGCTTGAATTTTATTTTTTATGGCATTTTCAAATTTAATTTCTGGGGATTTTTTTCATTTGAGTAGATGAATTTGTGGATTAACCATTGAGATGTTTGTATGCATTAAAGCTGGTGACATGTAGTGTCCCACCAGGTGTTTTGATGAATTTCAGGATGAGTAGAAGTATTTCCTAAAGAAATAATCCTAGGTGGTGCTGTGGAGCACACTACATTTCTAGTGACTTGGGTGGCTGATGCAGACTGCTGGTAGGTTTCAGGCCAGTAGGGTGCTGGAGACAGACCCTGTCATGAAATAAACTAAAAAGACCTGTGGAATGACCTCCGTGGTAGAGCAGGTGCCAACCATGTACAAGACCCTGGGTTGAATCTCTAGCAATACACACACACACACACACACACACAGAGAAACACAGACATAAAATCAAATGAGATGTAAGATAATAAAATAAGAATAAAGGAAGTACATATTTAACTAAAGATTATGGTCCATTAAAATTACTAATTGATAAAATAAAAAGATATTACTATTGTTTTATTAGACTATTGCTTTTTCTGTGCCCTCTATATTGTTTAATAACTGTTTACTTTTCTTCAGCAGCACCACATGTGGAAGTAGAATCAGAGAACCACCAGAGAAGGCTTAATGGCCCAGAAAAGAAACAGCCACATGTGTGTAAATATATAAATATTAATTGGTGGTTTCATAATGGTTACTATGCTTTAGTAATGTAGAGTAGTTCAAATGCAATTGCCTTTCAGAATTGATTTATAAATCTATACATCATAGATTAATTTTTAATTTAAAACATTGTAAATGGTTATGTATCTTAAAATGTGTTTATTTTCCATAGTAAAATGGCAAAACATTTATCCTTTGAAGTGAGCCCACTTTAAGATTATTGAATGTGCTCCCATTTGTATAATATCTGTAAATGATAGAGGAAAAATTGGGGTCTTATGAATGAACAATTGAAATTATGAACAAATGTCAAGTTGATGGCAGCTTAATTATACTCATTGTGAAAGAGAGTGGTCATTCCCAGTCACTCAAAACTTTTAGTTTAATATAACCAGTGATTAATTGCCATAGTTCAAGAGTTCATTCTGCTTGACTTTGG